CTTCAGGGGCTGGGATTAAGCCACATTAATTTATACTTTAAAAACCAGTAACTGACCATGCAACAAATAAACTCGCATCAACAACTTATCACGAGATCATTTTTATTGTATAATTAGAACAAAAATTTCATGCTTCATCAATTATCTAAAAAAATCATACACATTAATATTGATATGGTTCACTGTTTGCATATATGTGAAAGCACTATGTTGGTATACACTGCGAGTTGCTTTAGAGTTGATCGACTATATCTGTTGTTTGGGGAATAACAAAACGTTGTTCTGTTACTTTTTTTTTTGGGGGTGAGAACTTAATCAAATCGCTATTATAGAGCAAACACATGAAAAAACTAAGTTTCCTCGGAAGCCTTAACCATTAATTTAAGGAGTTAATTTATTAGGTGAAATTGATGATGAATGATCTCAGCCGTAGGAAACAATGGATAGTACAGATTTGGCCAACTCCACTCGGTAGAGTTATACTCAACTCCAGGGGATCCAGACCCGGTATACTAACTAGTAGCTATATATCAGGTGATACCTACCAGAGTCATGCATGATACTTGCTAGGTATACTAGCTAGTAGCTATATATCAGGTGATACCTACCAGAGTCATGCATGATACTTGCTAGGTATCATATGATACCCCATAGGTATCGGCACAATTTTCAATTTTGATTTCGGCCCTTTTGGTAGAACCGAAATTCTGGGAATTTTGGTAATTTTGGACTGAAATTTACTGAAATTTTGACACAATTTAACTGAATTTGACTAAATTCACAAAAATTGGAGAAAAACCAAAAATTTCAGCCGAGATATTGGCATGCCGGGGGGAGGGGGGAGGGTTCTGAAATTTCGAAAATTTCGAACCAAAATTTTAATCCCTGGGTATCAGCCGATACTCGTCGGTACTAGATATTGATATCCACTGATATCGCCCAATGCTCATTGTCTTATTGGTACCAAGAAAAAATTGATTCGTACCATACATGGGCGTATAGCTTGAGGATGGTGAGCAGATCTTCAGTGGCCCGAGGGGAGGAGTGACTGTGAGATGAAGAGGACGTCAGTGATGGCGAAGAGCTCATCAGTGCCCGTGAGGAGCATATCTGCCTCCATCGCATGCTTCGTGAACCGCTTGTAGTTGGTGAGGTCGTGTGGTGAGGAGCTTCGATCTCCATGATCTCTAGTCAACTCTCGCCCCATACAGTCACTTGGATGCGGGCCTATCGGGAGTGGCGGGACTACCTTCACAGTCCACCGTACACAATCTCATCATCTCCTGGAGAAGTGTGTCCATCCTCATCGGCTCCAGCGATTCATGTCTGAGGGATTGGAGCGTCCCATGCAGGGGATGGGGGATGGTATGTGTCGCCTAGCATTCGCGAGAAGATAATGGAACACGAGAGCACGCTACACCATGACCTACATATGGAAGCACTTAGACTGTCGGTATAAATGGCCATTAGAGCAAGTTTAATAATATAGCCAACTACTAGCTCCAATTCATCTATAGCTAATCTAATAGCTCATTCATACAATAGTTATATACTACACTATTAATACATAGACCCACCTGTCATACACACACTGCGTCTTGGAGTGTGCTACAGCTGGCTACAAATCTGTAGCCCACTGCTTTTCTCTCTTCTCATTTATCTCCTTAAAATATATTTGCAGCTGGCTTATAGCCTGCTATTGTACCTGCTCTTAGCGTCAAACAATTTGTCGACACTTAGTCTACCACCAGTGTTTGCCAATGATCCAGTAGTCAGGAAAAGTTTTTAATTACCGACAAATGATTTTTTACTGGTAGATGTCTATCTACCATATATGAATGCATGCAAACAAACAGAGATGTATGGCATATCCTCTGCTCCACCAGCAAAATTCCATGTCAAAATTAAAGATATGTGAGGAAGACAAAAAAAAATCTGGAGGAGCGAAGAATGGAGCAACACCATCTCGAACTTCAGGAGGGTGAATCTGTGGAGGCCACAGCACGGTCAGCAAAGACGATGGTGCCGGTGCTTCCTCGTAAATCCATAAAGTCATTTATAGCACACAAGAAAAAATGTTAGTAAAATTTTGGAAACCGATATGCTAAATCAGTGGCGGACCCAGGATTTATACCCTGGGTGTGCCCACAAATACAAGCCCTACACATTGGTCTAGAGCATATACACAAAAATATAGGCAAACCGAGCATTTTATACACCAAAATGTAGAGCCCTGTACATGGCCTAGACAAAGCATAATCTGAATTTTCTGATGCCTTGCTAAAAGAAGACAATGCCCTTGTTCCTCTTCGTATTAACTGATTTCAGAATTTTCAATTTTTCAACCAATCTCTAGCTCTCCTTTAAAAGAAAATTCAGGGAGACAAAGAAACTAAAAATAGTGAGAGACTAAAAGTCCCAAAGAGTATATCTGTATCTGAAGTTTTAGATAGATGATGCGAAGCTGGACCTGCTTGCTTGCCTTGGTCAATGTGGTTGCTGCTAGCTGCATTCCTTGCGTTGCTCACAGACTCACCGGGCTCGCATCGACATTGCTTCGCCATGTCTCTAAATGCTAGTGGCTGCGGCTCTCGTCTCCACCGTCGACGCTCCACACTCGCCGTCCAGCCAATATCGGTGCTCTGGCCTGTTGACTGTCGTGCTCTTCGGTGTCACCGCCGCCGCTCGCTGAATGTGGAACAACGCCTGATGCCCTGACCCTAGCTACCTTTCACACGATGCCAAGTGGATACGCGAATGCGAGGTGAAGCGGGGAACTTGCACGATGCAAAGCGCACAACACATCACACAGGCATCTATGATGGGCTGGCTCATGCGTTCATACTCATCAACTTTTGCCCCAAACTAATACATGCTATATACTATAAGTTTTTCGTTTTTTTGGGTGTGCCGGTGCATACCCGGCACACCCCCTGGGTCCGCCCCTGTGCTAAATGTTCCAAAAAATAATCATACATAATACAAATAGATATGAACCGACACAATTTTTCTCATCAATTTAAGGTTATATGGTTTCAAGTAATTTTACTTTTAGTATAGAGTTTATACGTTTCAAGGTAATTAGAAAAAAATCATAACCAATGTCCAAATCAGTTATTAAGCAAAACATGTTTAAAATGAAGTCAGGGAATATTTCAACAATATTATTCTAACATAAGCATTCACAATAAAAATTAAAGCAAAATTAAACAAGGTGTCCGTGCATTTCTAGTTCGTATTAATAATTGAAACCACTCAGTGCTAGAAAATCAGTGCAATCGGCACCAACGATCATCATAGTCGGAAAGTCAGTGGCCCTTAAAAACCGGGCACTGACGAAGTGTCCTAAGCTATTGACCTTATTTTATTTTATTTATTTATTTTCAAAAACGTGATAATAAAAAGAAAGGATCATATCACAGATTCACAGCTACTGCTGGCGCAGGTATTTCCACATTAGTTCGGCAAATAGTCTAGTGCAGTCGTGCAGACATAATATGATGTGCACTTGCACCTTCTTCAGGTACAAACGTAGTTCAATGTACCATCAGAATGTGCAGTGGCGAATGTACAACGTGATGAAAATATTATTGGGGCTTTATATTAAAGTCATAATACATAATAATTATAATATACTTTTTCAAAATCCTACGCGGATAGGGAAAAAAAGAGGATTAAAGACTGAAGTGAACTGAAAAAGATTGAAATTAATAGGTATAAGAGCACTGCTACACATACTAGTTTTTTCTTACTAAATCTTTACTAATAATCATCTCAACCGTTTGATTTAGGTAGATGGAAGTTATGAAAAATCTAGATGAACTCGTAGCATGACACTTCAGTGTTAGAATTTAGTAAGAAAAAGTTAGTACCTATAGTCTTTTCCATGTATAAAGGCCATGAGCTGCACACTGCAACAGCTACTAGCTAGAACACAAGAGTAAAAATAATCTACAATATAATTAATGATCACAATTCACAAATGATCCAGCTAGTAATAAACAGCCTAATGTTTTTTCATGCACATCATTTCTTTCACCCTGAACGTCTCCAGCCAACTAGCCATCACTGCTTGGCCGTATGCTGGTTGCTGTGCAAATTTTGCTGGCACTATGAACTCACTACGCAACAGATATATGGGATTAGATTCCTGCCAACCAGAGAGCTGGGGCTAGAGCCCCAACCAATAACATGTTCAATATGTAATTTGGTGTTAAATCTGTACGGAATTTCTCAAAATATATTTTGTTTCATGAAATTTACTCAATTATATATATACTCCCTCCGTTTCGAAATGTTTGACACTGTTGACTTTTTAGCACATGTTTGACCGTTCGTCTTATTCAAAAACTTTTGTGAAAGATGTAAAATTATATGCCTACATAAAAATATATTTAACAATGAATCAAATGATAGGAAAAGAATTAATAATTACTTAAATTTTTTGAATAAGACGAACGGTCAAACATGTTTTCAAAAGTCAACGGCGTCAAATATTTCGAAACAGAGAGAGTAGTACTGTACGGTGACTAGGGTTGACTAGTCCCTCTCGTCCAATCCTAAAGTTGGCATAGCTTTGGACAGCCGCTGCCGTCTTTGTGTGCACAACAATAGGCTATAAATGTAGCTAGCTTTGGCGTCCTCCGATCCTATGGTTGTGTTTAGATCTAAAGTTTGCATCCAAACTTCAGTCCTTTTCCATCACATCAACCTGTCATATATACACAACTTTTCAGTCACATTATCTTCAATTTTAACCAAAATCCAAACTTTGGATCCAACTAAACACAGCCTATATACACTACTCACTCCGTCTCAGAATATAAGAGGTTTTAGAGTTGGACACGATTATTAAAAAAGTAGGGTAGAAATAAGTGGTGAAGGGTCGTGATTGGATGGGTAGTGGAGACAGGTGGGAAAAATGAATGGTGAATAGTTGTGATTGGTTAGGAAGAGAAATATTTGTGGAGAAGTAGTTATATTTTAAGATAAATTCTAAGGGCTAAAAGTTGTTATATTTTAGGACGGAGAGAGTAGCTAGGAGGCTTTAATACACACGTCACACTGTACGCTGTGAAGGAACAATGGGTTTCTGGCGCCGGTGCACACCGTCGACATCGGCCTGTGCAGGCGTCTGTGTCGTCGCCCTCCTCCTTGTGGCTTTGGCTTGCTGCCCGACGCGCGCACGCGGCGCTGCCCCGGCGGTGTACGTACTTGGCGACTCGCAGGCGGACGTCGGGAACAACAACTACCTGCCAGCGACGCTGCCGATGTACAAGGCCAACTACCCTCACAACGGCGTCGACTACCCGGGGGGCAAGCCCACCGGCAGGTTCAGCAACGGCTACAACTTCGTCGACTACCTTGGTGAGTATTTCATCAACGCGTACACTGCGCACTCTTGGGAATTAAAATTAGAGGCTATTGTATTGGCTATGTATATACATGTGACCATTGTCTTAAGGCTCGTTCGGGTTGGAGAGGGTTGAAGGGGATTGGAGGGGTTTGAGGGGGAATAATTTCACACCACAATAAATATGTAATAAATTTCCGCTGATCTCTTTCTCTTTGGGATTAACCGAAGATGGCCTTAAGGGAAAATATTTTTTTCACGGCAAATACTTCTCTTGTTGTTCCATTAATTGCAGCTGACAGTCTCGGGGTGGCCAGCCCTCCTCCATACCTCTCTATAAGCAACACCTCGGTATACCTGAGGGGTGTCAACTTTTCTTCAGGAGGATCAGGGGTGTCTAATCTCACAAACATGGTAATATTAGCTAGAACTTGAAACTGTACGATCGAGATTAATGTCTTTCGAATACGTAGTACTCTGGTCCATGATTACGCGCAAGTAGTAATTAATTTTGTATACTTTTGCGCCATGCATGCAGGGTCAGTGCATCAGCTTCGACGAGCAGATAGATCAGCACTACTCCACTGTTCATGCAACACTGGTGGAGCAGCTCGGCCCGCGTCAGGCCTCGACCCACCTTGCCGAATCGCTCTTCAGCGTCGCCATCGGCGGCAACGATATAATCAATCGCGTCCTGCTGAGCCAGCTCGTGGGCACCCAAGACCAATTCATCAGCTCACTGGCCAACTCCCTGAAACGCCAGCTGCAGGTATGCATGTACACACAAATGACAAATATACAATCCGTCCAGCTGAATGTATATCGAACAAACCAGAAATTTTGACAAACTAACCATTTTAGAGAACTTGTTTGAATAAGAAACCGTGCTAAAAACTAATTCTAAAAATATACCATTCACTCAGTACCAAAAGTCCGATGGCATCGTATCGCATAAGATCTCGGTGCTCAGACATTATAGCTCTCATGGCTGATCAAATAGTTTATTTTTAGTAAGTTTTTGGGTCAGTTCAACCTTTAAATAAGTTTTTGATACTGACCTTTAAATATGTGATGTGCCATAAATTTCAGAGGATGTATGACCTCGGGACGCGAAGGCTTTTATTTGTGGGCGCGGCGCCACTGGGGTGTTGCCTGATGCTGCGGGAGCAGAGCCCCACCAAGGAATGCCACGCGGAGGCCAATTACCTATCAGCTCGGTACAACAACGCCGTCACCATGCTCCTCCGCGACATGAGCGCGATGCACCCGGGCATGAGCTACGCCTTCTTCGACACGTACACCGCGTTGCTGCAGTACATCCGGCAGCCAGAGGCATATGGTACTAGTACTACTTTACAGTGTAGACTACTCCATCCGTCCTATAAAAAACCAACCTAATGATTCCTCCGTATTTTAATATTCCCTCCGTATTTTAATGTATGACGCCGTTAACTTTTTGACAAACGTTTGACCTTTCGTCTTATTAAAAAAATTATGTAATTATAATTTATTTTATTGCGACTTGATTTATCATCAAATTTTTTTTAAGCATGATATAAGTATTTTTACATTTGCACAAAAATTTTGAATAAGACTAGTGGTCAAACGTTAGTCAAAAAGTCAACGGCGTCATACATTAAAATACGGAGGGAGTATATAATACCGTTGACTTTTTTTACTAATGTTTGACTATTCATCTTATTCAAAATTTTTGTGCAAATATAAAAATATTTATTTCATGCTTAAGGAATATTTGATGATAAACAAAGTCAAAATAAAATGAATGATAATTACATAATTTTTGTAAATAAAACGGATAATCAAACGTTGGTCAAAAAGTCAACAGCGTCATACACTAAAATACGGAGGAAGTACTACATATGACACATTCTAATACTACGAATATAGTAGAGATATATCTGTCCAGATTCATAGTATTAGGATGTGTCACGTCCGATCTTAGATTTGATTTTTATGTGACGGAGAAAGGATAGAGCAATCAGTCTATACTAATTAAGAGTGAATTTCATAGAACTATGGATACTTTAATCAAATTATCATAAAACTATAAATCTAAGATATTGTTATATAAAAAAATATAGATTTAATGCGAAATTTCTCATAAAATTATAAATTTAAGATGAAGTGTCAAAAAATAAATATTAAATAGCAGATTTTTCATGGAACTATATGTGCCCATTTAATCATAGAACGCAGTACATAGACTAAAGAGCAATCAGTGTATATACCGGAATATCTGAACATATTTAGTACGTATGAGTGCTCACATGAAAATATAATTAAGAATGAATATTTTCACAAAGCTTCCGATGCTTTAATCAAATAATAATAAAGCTATAAAATTTAAGGTATTGTTGCATCACAAAATTAAAGATTTCATACAAAATTTCTTATAAAATAACTATAAATTTATGATGAAGTGTCATAAAAATAAAGATTAAATAGTAGATTTACCATAGAACTACATGTACCAATTCAATAACAAAACTACAACTTATAACTCCAACATATATAACGGTAGTGGTAAGGATTTAAAGATTGGAATCCGTAGTTTTGTAGTAACTTTAATAGTAAAGATGTAGTTTGTGATATTTGGTCTATAATTTGTAATTTTCTGATAAATTTGTCACTAAATCTACGGTCCATTTTATTGTGATACAAGGTTTTAAATATGTAATTTGGTGTAATTTACTCTATAATTAATATTTTATATTTCATATTAAAAATACATCTCCTATGAATTAATCCAATGCCATTTTGGTGTTTTTTCTTTTATTTTTTTTAGGTTATACTGAGGTGAAAGCAGCATGCTGCGGCCTAGGGGACAACAACGCCATGTTCCAGTGCACTCCGGCAAGCTCGTACTGCGCCAACCGAACAAGCTACATGTTCTGGGACATCGTCCATCCGACGGAGATCACGGCCAAGAGACTCACCAAGGTTGCGTTTGATGGATCCCCGCCGTTGGTTTACCCGATAAACATCAGCCAGCTCACTGCGAGTTAGGCATCAAGTATATATATAGTACTTTTGCAGTGCTATCGATCTACCGATGCATGATTACCTGCAAAAATTATCTAAACTATTAGTTTAATTAAAAAGTACTCTACCACCAGTAGAAATAATTATAAATGACTCATTGAAGGAGAAATGATATAAGATCGTGATTGATTCTACTAACAATAACCACCATGGAAATAAACATAAAAGGGGTAAGATGGATAGTATTTTTGTCTAATCCACTAGCTCTGAAACCGATGAGAAAAGTGGCTACGTAGGGGTGAAAATGGAGCGGATTCGGACGGACATTGGTCATACCATATCCAACATCATTTTTTTAAGCGGATGTAGAGCGGGTGTGGATGGGATCCAGATCCCCTAGAGTTGGGTATAACTCTACCGGGTGAAGTTGGCCAAATATGTGCCATTCCATATATATTTCAGGGGCTAGGATTAAGCGGAAACTATTCTAATCCCTCGAGGGGATGTTCCCTCGTTTGCTCAAAAAACATCTAAACGGTTATGAAAAATTCTGGAAAAATTTGACAACATTCATACAACACATATATACAACTCCACAAAATCTTAACTCCAAACTCAACTCACACGTCGAGATATAAAAAAGACAAATTCAGCGTATAAATAGTAGCGTACTGTTTATATCTAAATTTGTCTTTTTTGTTTCTCGATGTGTAGATCGAATTTGAATATGAATTTTGGTGGACAAGTAGGTATCATTATACTCTACATTATCAATTTTTTTTAGAATTTTTCACAACTATTTACATCGAATTTGGAAGAAACAGGTATACGAGGGGAGATATCCCCTCGAGGGATTAGAATCCACGATTAAGCCACATTAATTTATACTTTAAAAACCAGTAACTGACCATGCAACAAATAAACTCGCATCAACAACTTATCACGAGATCATTTTTATTGTATAGGTAGTCCCCTTGCTCTTCCATTTGTCTCGCGCGCATCGGACGCTGTCCTGCACGCCCAAAAACCTTTGCCCTGCCGGCTGGCTTCGCTCTCGATCGCTACGTGCGTGCAGCTGCCACCGCCGGCCGCCGCCGGCGCAACGCACGCACACACACCAACAAGTACGTATTTGTGCGCGCACGCATGCCTCCGTTACAGAGACGTCGTGCGTGTTTGTTAATAAGCTACGAACAAGCTAGCTAGAGATCAAGCAACGCAGGCATGTCGTCGTCGTCGTCGTCGAGGCGGTGGGCGTCGGCCTCCGTTACGGACCTGTCGTCCGCCGGCCGGTCGCCTCTCCCCGCCGCCGCGCTCTCCCCCGTCCGCCCGAGCGCCCGCCGCTCCCCCGCCGTGTCGCGCCCCGATCCGGCGCCATCCATCGCCCGCACGATATGGCCTTCCTCCTCCTCCTCTAACAGTGGCAACACGAGCACTAGGAAGGCGTCGCCGTCGCCCTCGTCCCCTGCGCCAGCCGCGTCAACCCCCTCCTCCTCCTCGTCTGTGGCCACCACGCTCGCCGACCACCTCGCCGAAGACTCTCTGGACGCGCCGCCTGCTGCGCTCTCGCGGCAGCGGAGCTGCACCGAGCTCCCGCGCTTCGCCGACGCGGACGCCGAGGCGAGGAAGGTCGTCGTCGCCAGGTCGGGCGGCCACGCGAGCGCGATCGGCCGCTCCATGCGGCTCCTCCCGTCCACGAGGCCAGCCGGCGTCACACTCACCCCGGGCCGCGTCGCGCCGTCCGACCTCCGCAGGCTCGACGCCGGCGCCGACGTCGCCAGCTCCGGGTCGGAGTGCAGCGACGCCTCCAGGGGCGGCGGCGGCTCCACACCGAGGACGACGACGAAGCTGCCCAAGCCGCCGCCCTCGCCGTTGATAGCGCGAACCAACTCCACCCGCCTGCTCGGGTCCAGCAACACGCAGTGGGCGCTGTCGCCGGGGCGACGGAGCGGCTCGCCGCTGAAGACGACGCTGGCGACGGTGCCGGAGCTCAAGGGCAAGACGAAGAGCCTAATAGGCCTTGGATGGGGCCATCTCTTTAGCCGGAGGAAGGCGGCGGCGGCGGAAACGGCCACCGGAGCGCAAGCAACGGCAACACTGTCCTCGCCGGCGTCGCGGCGGAGCGGTGGAGGTGGTAATAGGGAGATCGGCCATCAGATGAAGATGATGCACTGCCGGCTGTTGCAGTGGCGCTTCGCAAATGCCAAGGCAGAAGCCGTCAGCAAGAACAAGCTGTCTATTTTCGAGGTATATATATATCAAGAATGCACCGTTCACATCAATATTATAAGTACCCACACTTATAATTTGTGAGCCTATATAATAACTAAAATTTGTTCAGTTTGGTGACATACCTAGTTTGTTGGATTTCAGCCCAAACTCTCAGCGTCGAACACCTGCAGCTCAGTGAACAGTGAAATTCTCAAGTATTCGACGAAATGAAAACGAGCCTAATAGTGTTTTTTCTTAATGTGTTAACAAAATTTGCAGTGGTTAATTTTTTTTCCCAAATTGAGATACATGGTATACCTGCATATGCTTAAATGTACGTATGTATGTGCTTTAGGCCGCCTTTGGAAATTAAACATCAATTCATCAAATGGTATATTATGTCGTTATGTTTTATTTTACTCCTAACCTATGTGTATATAGGTGGAATTCATGGGTGCATGGGCTAGGATATCAGAGCTGCAAGGTAAAGTGGCAAGGAGGCGTGTACAACTCGAGAAAGAGAAGCTCAAAATCAAGTTGAATTCCGTACTTTCTTCTCAGGTTGATACATAGGAGTACATGTTTTTGTTCAGTTCGATATTTGTCCGTCAAAATTGATCCTTTAGTGATTACTTCTCTGACATTATGATGCATCCATGCCATGGTGAATATGTGCAGATGAGAGGTTTGGAAAGCTGGGGGCAGCTGGAGAGCAAGCATGCTGTGGCTTTGGATTCTACCGTAGTTTGCACCCAGGCAGCCATTTGTAAGCTCCCTCTTACCAATGGCGCAAAGGTTTGTATTTTTTTTTCATTTAAAGCTCTATTTCTTAAAAATATGCACTTCCAACATAAAAAGACGTTGATGAATACACTTAGGTTGTGTTCGGTAGGGGAGTTGGGAACTCTCCCTCCAAACACGTAAAACGAGATGGTTCATTAGCACGTGATTAATTAAGTATTAGCTATTTTTTCTGAAAAATAGATTAATATGATTTTTTAAAGCAACTTTTGTATAGAATTTTTTTTGAAAAAACACACCGTTTAGCAGTTTGTGAAGCATGTGCGTGGAAAACAGAGGAGGTGTAGTTGTGAACACAAGCTGCCAAACGCACCCTTAGGCCAGTCACAATGGCTAGTGTCATTGCACGGCTACCCAAAATATTATACCATCTTCTCTCAAATGAAATCTTTTATGAAACAATCCCCACAGTGGAGGGGTTTCACTTTGACGTTTCCAAGACTAAGCAAAGCATTTAATTGATACAAGTTGCTGGGATCATTTGTACCCAAAATCCGGCGCGGCGCGGGAGAATGCGGAGGTCGCACGGCGGAGGCGGACGCAAGAGATCCGGTGAATGAAACGAATCGGCCTCAACGGGGGTTTCACTCTGTTACCGAGGACTTGGAAACGACGCTGACGAGTTTCACCAGGATGAAACTCTTTCCTTCTCTCTCATCCCCATTTCATGCAAATAATCATTTTTTATTCAGTCTTACCCCTATTAAATGTGCATGACACACCAGTGAAACCCCCATTGTGACTGGCCTTAGGCTGAGTTTTTCGCACGCACCTTAAGGTGAGGTTGTTATTGCAACTCGTTAAAGGTGTATGATATTATTGGTTACGACAGCTGATCTGATACAGATAAGTTTTTCACATTATTGATCATTCATCAATGACTAGACCCTTCACTATCACAAATGACGGTTTAAGTACGACATAGATGACATGTTCCGCACCAGCATGATATTGAATTAGCATGTTATAATATTTCAAAAATTCAAAAACATGGATTTTATCATCGTTTCCTTAGTAGGAATATTCCAAATATATATTTTTCTGTTTTTTCTGACTTTTCTATATATGACAAATATGAAGCATTTGGAATCCTCTCACTGGCCCCATCTACAATACTCCCTCCGTTTCGAAATGTTTGATACTGTTGACTTTTTAGCACATGTTTGACCGTTCGTCTTATTCAAAAACTTTTGTAAAATATGTAAAATTATATGCCTACATAAAAATATATTTAACAATGAATCAAATGATAGGAAAAGAATTAATAATTACTTAAATTTTTTGAATAAGACGAACGGTTAAACATATACTAAAAAGTCAATGGCGTCAAACATTTTGAAACGGATGGAGTATTTTACTAAATTCGCATTTTACTTCTTATCAAGATCTCCCTGCCATCGATGGGAATCATACTACAGCAGGCGCTTGACCTCACTATGACCACCAAGACAATAGTTCGGTCGTTTACTCCAATGGTAATAAAAACACATCAAAATAAGTTAATGTGTTAACTTTATTTTTCGAAATTCGATGCAGCAATCTGATAAAAAAATTGTTACCATTAATATTAATGCAGCTAATTAATTACTTTTTAATTAAATTGAAGTATTTTCCATGATACCAGGCCCATGATACCACATTGCTGATCACAGAGCTAGTAGCTGTGGCAAGAGAAGAGCATGCTCTGTTGCAAGAGTGTCTCGAGTTGCTGGGCCGAGTGTCTGCATTGCAGGTAGCTTTGAGTCAATATGTTCCATGAAAGAAAACAGCATATATTCTTTTCCCTTATTTTTATTTAACGCGATGCTTATGCTAATCTTCATTGATCGTGCAAATCCGCAGGTTGAAGAAGAGAGCTTGCGTTGCCATATGCTTCAGTCATAGTTACTGAATCTTATGTCCGTTGATACAGTATGATGACAGTAGCTAAATGTTGGCTTGTTCGCTCTGTTATCATTTTTAACCTTACCAAACTAAAATAGGTTGAATAACAGCAGTAAATTAATATTTTTAAGCTGATTGCATCAATCAGCTGTAGACATCACATTTTTGTCAGTATACGTAGGGGCTACCTAATGCAATACAGGAAAAAAAATTGAAAATATACTGTTTATTTTTTCTAAAAAATACTATAAGCAAACTTTATTATATGAATAGACCATCGTCGCGCTTGAGATAAACGAACTTGTTAACGATATCATCGTGTCCTATCGCCGCGGCCACTCCGCCCTAGCCCTCCCGCCGCCACCAGACCTCACCTACCGCCGTCGTCGCTGACATGTGAGATGTGAGAGAGAAGAGGAGGGGATAGAGAGAGAAGAGAGATAGGAGAGCTGACATATAGGTCCAAGGGTATTTTTGACATTCCACATGATTTCTCTCTCCTATTCAACCGAAAATTATTATTTTAATTGGTGCAGTGTCCACCAGCAAATATCCAACTTTTGGGAGTATTTTCCCCAAAGTCATTTCGTGTCATGTCCTACAGTTAAAACCGCAAACTCACGATGTCATGTAGCAAAATTTGCCTAATAAAAAACAAACAGTGGATCCGCTGCATCGCGCTCCCGACAAGCGAACTTACACGATTAATAATTAGTATCATTAGTAATTGATTAATTAACTATTATTTTTCTAATTATTGTTGTCGTGACCCAAGGTCACGGACAAATAGGGGGATAGACGGGAGCTAATCCCTTTACTCATTTTGGCATTTGAGTCGTGCCTTTTCGTTTTTTGTGCCCCCTCATCTGCGCGTGCTCCCTCCACCTCGCGCCTATATAAAACATTGTTGGTCACTATCAGAGAGCCTCACGTGCTCCAGTTTTATCTCGTTCTTTGACCACTTTCTCTTTCTACTCGAACTTTCTATAGTTTTCGAGTTTAACCATGGGTAAAACTGTCAAGAAAATCGCCACAAGCCTAAGTTCAAACAGTCTTCTTCAAGCTTACCCCCTCCGTCCAAAAAAAAACCCAATCCTAGCTACGAACCTGGACACGCAACACAATCCTCCAAGGCATCCAGCAACAGGTGGATAGAAGAGTGGTGGCTAACGGCCGTGTCATGGACCCCCCGCGCGAAGAGCAGCTGAGCATGGCAAGAGCATGGAAAAGCGAAGTAGGAAGGGCTCCCGACATGTCATCCCCTCAAGGCATACCATCATGTCGTTGCACGGCAGCTCGCGCGTATCCGTATCGTGGTCACATGTCAGCCACACCATCGGGATTGGCGAGAGAATCTCCAAGAGACAGGAGATGGAGTACATTGTGATGCCTGAGCACGATCGCAAGCACCACCAGCTCCATGAGTGTCCATGCGTGCACACAAAGAGTCGCTAAATCATGGGAGAGGTGTGCGGTGGCCGGCGACCGACAGGGAGAAGGGTGGCGGTGGTAGGTAGAATCCCGACGGCGATGACTGGCGATGGGTGGGAGAAGGCTTGCAGCTGTCGAGAAGCTTCATAGTGATAGGATGTGGGGAGAAGGGCGTAGGTGTCGAAGACGATGCGACCACAGTGTGGAGTAGATGGAGTTGACCTCGAAGACGATGTGGCGAAGCCACGCGTGCTCCTCAGTGGAGGAGAGGCAGAGCTCAGGGACACTTGAACACATCAGCTTTTGAGCAGCTCGGCGGGGGTGGCTCTGAGCTTGGGGGATAGGAGCTTGGCCAGCGTGACAAGACGGAAGCCCTAGCCCTCACGCGCGTAGGTAAAGATGATATTGTCGTTGCAGTTGGGACCTGGGCGCACCACGTGCGCGCTCCCGGTCGTTGGGAGCCGCATCAGCCGGTGGCCTCCGCTATCGAGCTTTTCCCTATCGGCCCACACCATTCTCCCCATCCATTGGCGGCTGCCTTGGAGGTTTGGGTTGAGATGGGAAGAGAGGTAAGTGAGGTGGAAGAAGATTGCTGGCTGACATGTGTGGTCCACGTGGGCCCCACACTGACTCGGCCGCCACGTCAACAAAACCAAAGAGCATACCTTGGGATCAAATGTGACCCGGTTTTGCAAGATTAGGGATACATTATATCTTCAAGTTCGGAACAGTTAAAACTCGACAACAAGATAAGGGAGGTTAGGTGAACTTTTTCCGAGATGAAAAATTTCCAGCCTCATGGGCCTGTGCATATGACCCATAGGAGGCGGCAGACCTCCGGCTCCTCCTCGCCCGCCGCCCTCGACTCCCGTCTCCTCGCCTGCCGCCGGCGCCGATCTCCATCCTGCTAGCAGAGGTGGCGCCGGCGTTCTCCTGCTCCCGCCACATCATCGCTAATCCATCCCATCCGGCCTCGGCCACCCCACTGCTTCTACGAGTTCCATACCCAGACCGCCGCCGCCGCCGCCGCCGCCATTGGTGAAGCCCGTCGCCATCGCCGTCGCCGCTTCCACGCAAGTCCGTAGCAGCGGATTCCTGCAGCGCCCCCCGAAACATCCCGAATCCCCAGCCATGGCGGCCGGAGCAGCAGCAGCCACCCGCCGCAGTCTCTCCGCGCTCCTTCTCTCCTCCCGCGCTCTGCAACGCCGCTTCGCCCCGCTCGCCGCCGCCGCCTCCTCAGCCTACCTCGCCCCGTGGGCGCCGCCGTCACGCGGAGCGAAGACCGCGTCGTCGGGTGGGTCTGGGTACTCGCCGCTGAACGACCCGTCCCCAAACTGGAGCAATCGGCCGCCCAAGGAGACTATCCTGTTGGACGGCTGCGACTACGAGCACTGGCTCATCGTCATGGAGTTCCCGACCGATCCCAAGCCCTCCGAGGAAGATATGGTCGCCGCATATGTTAAGACCCTCGCCGCCGTCGTGGGAAGGTATATGCTCTTCTTCTCCAACTATATTTGAGAAACTCCCCTTGAACTGAAGCAGATTAGACTAATTACAATAGTGGGCCTATACATCTTAGTGATCGAACTGATAATAACCAAAACATGGCTGTTGCATCAAATTTGCATGATGAGAAATTAGTAACAATATATATGATGAATGTTGTATCAAGTTTGTACTGTTAGTTGTATGTTTCAAAAAGTCGAGTTTACATTGTGGTTTTTTAGCATGGCAATTAGGTAGGGAAATGATTGTTCACAGACTATTTTTTTGGACATGAGTTGCCATCAGACATTAAACTGTTAATTTCTGTCTTAAAGGCATGAAGCAAAAATTTCACCCACTGAAACATTTGTGAAAATTGAGAAAAACCTAGCGGCAACCACATGGTGACATACAGATAAAACATTTTGAGTAGTAGTATGCATATGCAACATCTAAAACTATTCACTTCCAGCAATATGCACGCTTTCTGCAAACACTGCAACTTCAGCTACATTCAGGACAAACAGTGGCAACACTTTTAAAGTCTGACTGTGCCAACTCTCAAAAAGTTCAAGGAGTAATATATGTGACATTATGAAACCTGACTGCTCAACATTTTTGTTTCACATGGGCAACATCAGCATACCCAAAACACGTAAGCATGGCTGCAAGTAAGCTTGCTGCTGCTCCGCGTTGCTCCGGCTGCCACATCACACTACCCTTGACCAAGAGCCATGCAGGCATCGAGCTTGCTGCTTGGCCCTGAGAGCCATGGGTTGTATCATCCCCTTGCTCACTCCTATGGAGACACCTCCATGGAGATCCGCTCTGCGAATATCCCCCACCCCCACTGCTGTTGTGTTCTCCCATCACCTTGCTCCCTGCATTTCATTCCCCACCGACTGTGTGAGTCCGATTCTCAAGTCAGAGACTGGTGTGGACTGCATGCGTGCGTGCGTTTGTGTGAGTGTGTGTGTGTGTGTGTGTGTGTGTGTGTGTGTGTGTGTGTGTGTGAGAGAGAGAGAGAGAGAGAGAGAGAGAGAGAGAGAGAGTTGTGACTTGTCAGGTTTGGTTCTTGTGTTGAGCTCCTGAATCATTGTGGTGGCTGTGGTCATGATTTGGCCAAGCAGCTGCAGGCAGGCACGAGATCTGCTTAACAAAACACAGGCCTCTGGTTGAGCGTCAGTATCAGACATCTGCAGTCTAATTTTCTCTAATATCATTTGGCCCCTTCTTCATAGTTTCATATATACTCTTAGTGATCTGCAATGTTCTAATAGATGATAATAACTAATTGAATCTTTATCCTCAAGATCCTAATATTCTATATTTGGGCATCATGTAGGAATTCAAATGTTTATCATAACTTTTTTTTTGTGTGCAGCGAGGAGGAAGCCAAGAAGAAAATCTACTCTGTCTGCACTACAACTTATACTGGGTTTGGCGCATTGATTTCGGAGGAGTTATCATACAAGGTTAAAGGTGAAACTTTTGTGGCTCTGCTTTTCTGTAAGGTTCACACCATGAATCCATGTTGGAAATATTTTTTTCATTTACTTTGCTGCTCTTAAAGGATTGCCTGGAGTTCTTTGGGTATTGCCTGACTCATATTTGGATGTGCCGAACAAGGATTATGGAGGTTAGTAATAATAGACCTTGTTCCTGCTCTGTTTGCGATTGTGTAGGATTATAATATTCTTATTTGGTTGGATTTCTTGTAGATATTTATTTGTTTCACTAGTTTTTTATTAATCAAGTGGCAACAAAATGTCTTATTGTGTTCCAGAATATATAATATGAAAATCAATGGCAATCTAGGAAATCTATTTTATTTAACTTCAGTTCGATATATGAAACATAACTATATAGCTCCACGACAGCTTGAAAATAAGCAAAACACAACACAACCACCACAAACTTATTATTTTTTGGAAAAGAAAAGAGTAACAAAGTGCTCTACTAACAAAGATTAGACATAAAGAGAAAAATACTACATATGGTGGGAGAGTGGAGAAACAAAACACTACAAGGCAATTAACCTTGACACCAAACAGGGCCTCGACCAGACCACCCAAGGTGGAATCTTCCCCATCCATGCATAATGGGAGGAATCCTTTCTAATATCTTTTTATTTCATTGAAACCAAAGGTGCAACTAACCAGAGTGAGCATTTTGTTAACAATTACAGCTTGTGACTATAACGGTACTAACATGCCCTAAAAAGTATGTGGTATATTCAAGTGAATATCAGTCAAATTCCAGCAATTAATACTAAATTGGCAAAATGGCAAGCACAAAGAGGTGGAGCAATCGTCTGAGGCATTTTCACAACAGAGAAACAGATAAAGTGGATTTAGCTCTAAATTTATTGTATTGTAACTGATTCTAGTGTTAATTTTCTGTTGTGCGACTTGTTAGTATCTCTGACTCCTTGGGAAGCATTGTGTGTCATACATTTACTCTTCCAAACCCAGCTATAAGTTGATATGGTTTATTTTTCTCAAAAAAAATGATCTGGTTTATATGTTGCCTAAGGCTGTGTTCAGGAGGGGTTGGGAACCCCTCCTCTCTGGCACACAAAACGAAGCAGCAGTTTAAAAATGGATTATTATGATTTTTTAAAGCAACTTTCATATAGAAGAACGAGGAGGAAAAGTTGCAAAGTGTTTAGTAGTTTGGAAAGCGCGTGCGTGAAAAACAAGGAGGAAAAGTTGGGAGCTCGTGCTAAAGAACAAAGCCTAACAATGAAGATGAGCTTTCATATAGAAGAACTCATGAAAATTCCAAATACAACTCCAGGAGTCCTGACTCCTGAGTCCAGACCAGGTTTAATTCTGTTAAGGGAATTCTTAATTGTAATTCCTGAAGTGGATGATGGAAACTAAATGGCATGGATTTTGTCGTCATGCATTTTTTGGCAAATGAAAAAAAAAGTGTGGAGCTGCTAACTTTAAAGTATTATTTAGCAATATATATGTTGCCTTAGCTGTTTTGTTTGTCCTCGTTACCCACTTGAGGCTTAGTTATTGCCTCGATGGCTTGAACTATGGCAGCTGTTCTAAAACATCCACCAGAAAGAGCTCCCTTCTATCTTGCGAAAAGAATGGACTCTCTCAAAATGACTTTTATGTTGAAGAACTTGTGCAGAAATTTTGACTCCTACGTTGATTTCTTTGCCACTAGACACATCCACCTAAAGCATCCGTTTGTGGACTTTTGAGAAAATAGTTCTTTTAAGATTAGCAATCATAGTTCGTAGTTCAGCCAGCAATAGAAAAAACACTTGTGTAAAAGCATAGACACCAATTACTCTTGCCAGCGTTCCTTCTTTAGAAAGACTGACAACCTTATGACCTGAGAGTGTATTAATACATCTTCAGTGCTCAGTCTCTGGAGTTGGTTATGCAGATAGGTAGCCTAGATAAATGAATGGAGAATATTCCTTCTTACAGCCAAGAATCCTAGATAGATGAAGTTGCTTCTGATCACACACACTGAAAGGAACAATGTTGAATTGTGTAAATTGAATTTTAGTCCCGTGGAGTTACTGAAAGAATCAGGAAATCCTTTTGGCAAGGTTTAGTATTGCCAAAGTATGGTTGGCATATTGGATTATCAGAAAATCCAATGTAAAAATATTGACCCATTCACCCATATGGCATAGAATAATAGTATGCCATTTCTACTTCCTGATCTAAATTCTGTGAAGAAGATCAGCATCAGTCTCAGTTCATGGGTCCCCATCATTTCCTCATCCAGATTTTGATGTTGAATTATATGTGTGCTATTCTCTTATATACGCCTGTCTTTCCTGTTTTCAACTTTTGGATTATGGATGATGTTTTGACAAATTACATTATGTGCTTGTAATAATTTCATGGCACCACTTGTACCAGGAGATCTATTCGTAGATGGACAGGTCATACATAGACCACAATTCCGATTTACTGAAAGGCAACAGGTAAGGAGCCGGCCTCGTCCTCGCTATGACAGGAGACGAGTGACTATGCAAACTGAACAGAAAGAAGCAATGCAGAAAGGACCTTCAAATCTGCAGCAGTAGCATGAAACCATGCCATATACACTAAACTGTTGCCAGAATAGCCTAATTATCCTGGATATGTTTAAGTTCTGGAGTGTGTCCATTTCTGGAAATTTATCTATTGTCTTGTCAGTTTAGCGCCGTGGAGCCTATCCGTGGACATCTCTGCAGTTAAGAAACATCATATTGACCTTGTTATATGAGAAATCCTGCACTTTTATCTCCATGGTACGCCTCCGAATAAAAAATATCCAGTCCATGCCCTCTGGTTTTAAAAGAGCTCCGAATAAAAAATATCCAGTCCATGCCCTCTGATGTTAAAAGAGCTCCGTGCCACAAGGCAGCTCTTTTATGAATAATTGAATATGTGCCAGCACCCTTTTTGGAAAGGGATAAAATCGTAAAACTGCCCTGTCCCTATTCCTTATAATTCACATCAGAAGTCACTTGAAATTTGGCATTCCACCTCATAATTCATTTTGTTGCAAATATTCACCTTCCTACTTGGTTTTGTGGTAAAAACCACAATAGTGCAAACATGTTTAATCGGATCATTATGTTTTCATAAATTGTGAGCTGTAAATACGATCTATACCAAAATTAAATACTTTGTATTAACACCTTTTCGAAGATTCCATAAAATAGAATTGCTAAAGACAATTACTAATGAGAGCCTAAATGTTGGTGCACTGACTTTCGTTATATGATAAGATAATTGAATGGAACACGAAGAATAAATCTAATGTAGCGATATCATGCTGATTCGGTTAGCACGTGCACACTGCGATTGTTTTTGCAACAAACGACTAGGTGGTGAGTATTTGCAATAAAATGATTTATGGGATGGAATGTCAATCTTTGATGGTTTTTGCAATTTTTCATATAAGCTGTGAATTTGGCCAACAAAGGCTCCAAATATTATCGGCAGTTATCGAGACTTGCATATCGATTGAAATATTTGAATCAAAATCAGTACTACTGGAGTACTAGTCCTGAGAGGTCCGCAGTTAGGAGAAAATTCCCCCCCGGAAGTTCATTCAATCCTTTCTATGCCTGTGAGATTTGCTCATTCCCTTCCATACCCATAAATTTTAGTTTGGATCTCTTCTATACCCTGTTAAATTTCTATCATAAAGTTCATTTTGTCCTTTGGTATCAAGAAAATATAAATTTATGAAATATATTGATGGATTGTATAAATTTATTGTATGCGACTATTATATTTATGAGTTTATTTTGTGAGATATTTAACAAAAATAATTTTTATCTCGCATAACAAAAATAAATTATCATAAACAATATCTTGCATAACAAAGTTACAAATAATATGTATGATAATTTATTTTTATATATGACATAAAATAAAATTATTTATTAGTTATTAAAAATTATTTATTTAGCACATAAATAGATTTATCTTATAAAAATGTAGTACCACTATAACAAAATAAATATGCTTGATATACAGTTTTTAATATTAATGATAAAAAATATTACTTTTTTTATTATATCTAAAAATAAATTTTGTCATAGATAAAAATTATTTTGTTTTTCCTTCGCGGAGGCGAAACCAAAGTATTATTCTTGTTAACTAATGTCTCATAAAATAAACACATATATACGATAGTCGCATACAATATATTTATATATTCCATCAATATACTTCATAAATTTATATTTTCTTGTTATCAAAGGGCAAAGTGGACTTTATGATAGAAATTTAACGCTCAACTAACGGAAGGGGTATAGGCTGTGTTTGGCACAGCAAGTTCCCATCTCCTCTCCATCGTGTTCCACGTGCACGTTTTTCAAACAGCTAAACGGTGTGTTTTTTGCAAAAAAAAAAGTTTTATACAAAAGTTGCTTAAAAAAATCATATTGACCCCTTTTGAAAAAAAAAAGCTAATACTTCCTCTGTTTCATATTATAAGAATTTCTAGCATTGTCCAAATTTATATAGATATTAATGAATCTATACACATATAACATCTATATAAATGTAGGCAATGCTAGAAAGTCTTATAATATGAAACGGAGGGAATACTTAATTAATTACATGCTAATGGACCGCTCCATTTTCTATGCGTGGAAGATCGGTTCCCATCAAGCCCAAGCGAACTCAGCTTTAGAGCAGATACAATAGCAGGCTATTAGCCAGCTATAAACATATTATAATAAGATAAAACGATGAGAGAAAAGAGCAGCGGGCTATAGATCTGTAGCCAGCTACAGCACGGACTCCAAGACGCAATGTGTGTATGACAGGTGGAACCATATATTAATAGTATAGTAAGCAACTATTGTATAAATTGATTATTAGATTGACTATCTTATTAAACTTGCTCTAGGGCAAATACTATAATGTTTGTTTGATGTGTTGCCCCTAAAAATACGTGCTCCCCTGGACAGCCCCTGCCCTCCCCGCATGAGTTTGAAGGATGTAAAAAAAGGACACAGGGGTATTTTTGTCATTTCGGATGTCAAGACATCGGTGGAATATTGTTAAATTTCTCCAAATTTTCTTCCGGTCGGTCTCGAACCTTCGTCTCCAGCTCTCCTCCGCACCGCAGTCCGCAAACCCCAGTTTCTCAAGCATCGAAGAATGGAAAGAGGAGATGGCGCTATACCCTTCCGCGCCACCAACATCGCCGCCGCCGCCGGCACGCCCACCTCTGCTTCTACTGCGGTATTCCTCTTTTTTCCCCTCTTGATGAAATATTTCCTAATTTCCTTGGCAGTTTGCCATCTTGGAATAAAAATTTTGTGGAATCAGGGTATTCTCCTGCTTGTATTCTCTGTAGATGCGGTTACTCAGTTTATCAATCGTCTCATCCACTTAGTTGTATGGGGAAAGCGGAGGCTGAACAGTTTGCTTGGAACGGGCAAGGAGCACTGCTACTTCTTTGATTGAGATGCCATTAGTGAATGTTTCTGGGTTGAGAGTTGAGTAGGTTCTTTGAGGGAAATGCTTAGTCTTATGGTTTTTGAGACCGAATTTATGCATATATGATTTTAAGCTCATTTGTTATGAGTAGCAGTATCACTAATTTTATTCATCAGATTGTGATGTGGATATGTGGTGTGCTGATCAAAAGCTGATTTTGTTTGCGATCAGGGCCGCCCCCAGCAAGGGGATAGGGAAAATGCTGTCAGTGCTGAGATTGAGAGGGTTAACAAACTGCCAGCCAATAGTTCCTATGCCATACACCGCTTGAAGGTTCTAAACAAGCTTCGCCATCTATTATCTATCAAGGTTAGATTTTTTTTTGTGTATTTTCGGACCAAGATAATTTGAGTCATCCTGCTATGCAATTGTCCTGTCAATTGGTCATCTGTGCAGTGAATTTAAAATTTTCAACTTATTGCTTTTTAGTTAGTACATCTCAAAAGGCAATTTTCAATTCTTAACAAGAGAAAAGAATTGCTATTATTATACTATATTCTATTAAAGCCTAATTTAAAGATAGCAACATTGCTATTACATGTTGCTGGAGGAATATCTTACCATGTTGATTACGCTGTTGGTTTGGAAGAATAATTTTCAAAACCAAATGCAAATTTGAAGGTCGTGAGTTATTAACCATGGTGTAATTGTACTATGTGCTCTTTCAAGGCATCAAAGCAAAACTATTGCGATGTAAATGTGGCCACATGAAAAAAAACATAAATAAACCCAAGGAATTGAAATATTAGATTATTGGATTCCTTGTCAGTTAAGTAACAAAAAGTTGTGATAGTTTGGTACTTTGGTTGCTAATGTGCCTAGATTGTAAAACCCGATGAAACCCTTTTTGGCTTAGTGAATATGCAACTGAAGTGTAATGATAGTGTGAGCCTTAGGGTGTTACAGGATTAAAAGGGGTCGTCTTAACAATATTTGGCACTGTCTAAACATGGGAAAATTTTGGCATTACTGAAACATTGGTAGAGTAGGGATGTTTGGTTTGATACCAAATAGTGTTAAAGTTTGGTGCTGCCAAGATTCCTTGGATATTACCAAATTTTGGTCGCAAACCGAGTACTCCTAGAAATCAAATTCCTGTGGCAATACCAAAGTTGACAATGGTTAGAAATGGCTGCAAATCAAACAGGCCCAAAGTACACAACTAAATATTCATATTCTCTTATGTATATATTTCTTTTTTGTTTGAACTGGCAAATTGTATCCAGAACTATTTCATATGTAAATTTAGATTTTCTTATCTGCTTCTAGTTTGAGCACGTTGTTAAATCAAGTCTTTACTGGTTATGTACCTATGTGGCTTCTGACCTGTGTCTCACATGTTGAGGTCCGTTGCATCTAGACTTCACTGGTGGTAGGATGGACTTATGTCCTGCTTAAGTACTGTGGCAGGTGGCATCATGATCAAATTGACCAAATGCGTAGTGCCCAGAAGAACAAAAAATAACTGTTAAAAAGTTCAATTTATTTTTTAAATCATTGTAGTTTTTACTAATTAAACTTTTAATCATGGGCACTGTCATTCATTTATGCTGTTAATGAGGTGGTGCTCTATAAACCATGATTTTAAGAAATCACACCTTATGGAGTGACATGAAAAGATGGAGTTCCTCTTAAAAGTTAAATATTTAACACGTTAACTAAGGGATTATATGAATCTTAGTCCCAGCAAAAAACCAGGTTTTCTTAAATTTTCTATGGTTAATATTTGAGTTGTTTGAAAAAACAACTCCAACTTGATTCCAGGGAAAACAAAATAGATTATCGAAAGTAATTTACTATTTTTCACCAAACAAGATATTCACTAGGTACTATCCTGATTACTTGGTTCCAGTAATCTTAGCAGTTCACACTTCAGTCTGTAGCCCAAACTTATGTTGCCAGTACCTATGAGGAAATACGTCGCACTCATGGGAGAATGTGTGCACATTACCAATATCATTCAACCTCCTTAGAGATTCATGCTCAGCACCATATCCATGGAAGCGCATCGTCTGCCGTCGTAACTATAACGGCATGGTCATGCCGTTGGCAAATCCTGGACGTTCCTCTTTTTTGGACGATTAGGATTTAGAAGGGCTCCAATTACTAGGCCTACCAAGGCTCACGATGCTTTTTTTTTCTTAACTCGGTATCGATTTCACTTTCCCCATCTTCATCCCTCCTCTCTCTCTCCACGCATCTCTCAATCACTGCAAAGCAAGAGGGCCGATTCAGTGGCTTCAACCATGAATTTTTGCTGGCAATGACCGCAATATGCTCCCTGATATTATCCAGGTTTGCTTCCCATCATTTTTGTCAATTAATTTGGCCCCTGTTGCTAGCAGCAATCAGTCCTGGAAGCATTGGCAACAGTACGCAGCTATGGTGGGGAAAGTGAAATCGATACCGAGTTAAGAAAAAAAAGCATTGTGTGCCTTGGCAGGCCTAGTAATTGGATCCCTTCTAAATCCTAATCGTCCAAAAGAAAAAAGGAACGTACAGGATTCGCCAACAGCATGGCCGTGCCGTTATAGTTACGTCGGCAGACAATATGCTTCCCATATCCATGTGTGAGATTCACTGCGTATAGATAATTTAATAGCGAAAGAGTTACTGTTTTGTCAGAGGCTATACACGTGGAATCCTTTTTGTACCATTCAGGCCTCTCCACTGTGAATGTACAGTGACAAGTCAATCTGTCCAAATTTTGAACATATTTTTGTATGTGTAGGAATATTACATATATGCCACATTCACTCTTTTTGCTTGAAGTACACATTCTTATTTTAAAATTATGTAGATATTTCATATATGATTGATATGAACATAGTAAGATTTCACATTCTGTACATATTTCAAAATCTAAACTTCAACATGAACCTACTTCGATTGTTCTGTATATGAATGTGAACTGACAAATGATCTTCGATATCTTTACGAAAACGAAATTCAACAACATGAACTCAATTGATTAAGAAACCCAAAAATAAGATTCCCACTTGAATTGGTTTTTCAAGAGCTGATACCTAAAAAACTTAAAACTTGAGCTTCAATTTTTTTTATGCAAACCTAACGTAATGATCAATGAACCCAAAAACCTATGTACATCAACTAAAAGTTGTTGAACATGAATGAGAAAAACCTGCCCACGAACTTGGATTTTACTGCCTCCGACCTGGCCGCCACTGGCCCACTGCCATTTTGGAATGCTCTGCAGCATGATCGGGTCACCATTGACCATTAGTCCTACTCCTCAGGAAGTCCTTGCTTAAGTGAGGCTTTGGCTCTAGCAGCGGCAGGCATGCTGTATTTCTTTGATTGGATGCATTCAATTGTGTACAATCTCACGAGCAGTGCTGGAGGTTCCAAATAGCACACGAACCTATATATGCGAGCACCAAAAGCTTGTTCGATGCTTATATCTAATTTATTGTCCTAACAAGAACAGAAACTTCTTGGTGAAATGAAATAAAAGTGCCATGGAGTTGAATAGCTTAAGGACATGTTTTCTCTGCATTATGATTTATTTTATGAAGCTTATATTCAGTTTTGACTTTTTGTAAACCTAGACTGATTTTATTTTATTTTATTGTGCACCACAGAGAACAACATCTCAAGATGAGGAGCTTGAACTTCTTTTTGCAAGCCTTTCAATTTAAACACTATCGGACTATCCTGTATCCTCCATATGTTACATATGGTAGGTAAGCTGCAAATTAATACTGAACTTTTTCATTTTGGCAGCTGTGTCCGTAATCACTGCTGGTATTATCCATCCACTTCTCTTTTTATTCAAATGGATCCTATATTTTGACTTTTTTTTTTACAGCAACCTATATTTTGACATTTGATTTGTATATACCATTTTATTTGCAGCTGGGTGCTCCGTTTTGGCATTTCTGCTGTCCGTCGAACATGTTTCCAGTACGGTTTTCTGAAGTTATTGGAAATCACCCTTCTATTTTGTAGAACTTTATGAGTGGATGGTGTTGAAACTATGATGTATGGAGTATATGATCTTCCGTACGCAAATGTCACTCTTAACCATAACGGAACTTCTATAGTTCTATTGTAGATGCCCAAAACTTTAAAAATTGTATGACATTATTAGGTGTTGCTATGTTGGCAATGGAGCAAACATTCTGAATTTATGCTACACTTGGAAGTGTAGCATAAATTCAAATCTAACCACCGTAACGCGTTTCGTTCGAGTAAAATTCCTCCACTTGGAAGTGCTCTTTTTTTTTTTTTTTGGCGTTGCGTTGCATATGGCATTACAAAAAGCTATCTGTTTCTATTTGTTTAAGCTGCAGCCTGCCATAGAGGAACATTTAGCACAGTACACGCTTCGTTCCAAGTTAATTTCAACTATATACTTGAAAGTTATTTCGTCCCAAGAAATAATTATTATCACCTAATAGTTTAGATTACCCTAATAAATAAAATGCACATCCGATAAAATTAGAGATCCGGATGATGGAGGATTTAAATAATAATATTTTAGTTGAAAAGATACGATAGTTAATGACATGTATAGATGTACATCTTATATTATAAAACAACTTATTATATTATGGAACAGAGGGAGTATAATTTTTTTTAAAAAAATGTATAGGAAAGTTGCTGTAAAGAAAATATTGATTCATTTTTAATTTTTTTAAGATTACTTATTACTTGATGTAATACTTATTTAATCATGTGTTAATAAGCAACCCGTATTCGGTGTACAGCCTAAAGGGGAACCTAAAGGGTGTTGTGAGTAGGAATAAGTTCATCTGAGGTCCCTTAACTTTACACCGAATACAATTTTCGTCCCTCGACCGGAAAACCAGACACAACGGGTCTCTCAACTATTAAAACCGGTGTAGATTAGGTCCCTTGGCGGTTTTGAGGGCGGTTTTGGCTGACGTGGCGCCTACGTGGCTAATTTGACTCGGTCTTTATCCGACGTGGCATTGACGTGGCGCTTACGTGGCAATTCGATCTGTCGAACCCACATGTCAGTCTCACATAGAAAATAATAAAAAAAATCATGGGACCCACGTGGGTCCCATGTGTCAGTCCAACTCACCCCTCTTCTTCCTCCTTTCTCCCCATCTCTCTCTCTCTTCATCTCCCTATCTTTGCTCTCTCCAGGCGCCATGGAAGACAACAGCGCGCGGCGGCGCGCGGCCGGCGGTAGGAGAGGAGGGAGCAACATGTAAAGACCGGCGAGGCGAGCAGGGAGGGAGGACGCAGGGAGGCCGGCGATGGCCGAGCGCCGTGGGCGGGTGCTTGATGACGATGGACGGAGGGAGAGATGTGCAGCCGACGGCGGCCAGCGGGAGAGGGAGCGGCGATCGCCCTCCGCCACAACCCGCCTCCACCACCGAGCTCGTCAGCGACCGCCCACCGGAGCAAGGAGGATGACAGCCGGCGACGGGTGAAGAGGACGAAGGCGGCGGTTTGGAGTAGAGGTCGGAGGAGGGCCCCCAACCACCAGGATGGCGCTCGATCCGTCGCGTTTCACCACCACCGAGCTTGTCAGCGGCAGCCCACCGGAGCGAGGAGCTTCCGCTTCCCCTTCCCCCCATTGACGCCGCCGCTGCAGCAGCTGAGGCGCCGCTCCCTATGCCACCGGTTCTGTGGCGCACGCCGGATGCGGACGGGGACGCCATGGCCGTGGCCGCGGACGACGTCGACGTCGACCTCAGCATCCTCGGCGACTCCCAGGGCCCCCGCGCCGCCGCCACTACCGGGGGGAGTAGCGCACAGCAGACGTCCTCCTCCTCCGGCTGCCACCGCCACGCCTCCCCGCATGGCTGCATCTCCTCCTCCTCTGACGGCCATCGCCGGCCACCGCCCCTTCTCCCCGCCGGCCACCGCCCTTCTCCCGGCCGCCACTACCGGATCTCGATTGCTGGCGTTGCTCCGGGGGGACCTGCCGCCGCCCGGGTCGATCTGTTCCGCCCACCGCCGTCGCCGATCCCCTTTTATCGCCCTGGCTTCCTCCTCCAGCTCGCTGCTCTCGCCGGTGGGCGCCGGTCTCGCCGCCCCCTCCAGCTCGCCGCTCTCACCGAAAGAGGAGAGGAGATGGGAGAGAGATGAAGAGAGGGAGATGGGGAGAGAGGAGGAAGAAGAGGAAGGGTGAGTTTGACTGACATGTGGGGGGTCCACGATTTTTTTATTATTTCCTATGTGAGACTGACATGTGGGTCCCACGAATTTTATTATTTTTCCGGGTCAAATTGCCACGTAAGCGCCACGTCAATGCCACGTTGGACGAAGACCGAGTCAAATTAACCACGTAGGCGCCACGTTAGCCAAAACCACCCTCAAAACCGTCGAGGGACCTAATCTGCACCGGTTTTGATAGTTGAGGGACCCGTTGTGTCTGGTTTTCCGATAGAGGGACGAAAATCGGATTCGGTGTAAAGTTAAGGGACCTCAGATGAACTTATTCCGTTGTGAGTAAGCCCATCCGGCCCAAATGCTTCTTACAGCTGGTCCAGCCCGCAAAAAGTCGGAGACAGGGACCCTAGGCCTAGAAACAAAAGCGAGGAACAGCATTCACCCACCTGCCTGCCTGGAAGGAAGAACCAATCCAAGAAGAAGCGATGGCATCTCGTCTCGTTGCGGCGGCGGCGGCGTCCTCCTCGTCTTCCCCGCTCGCCCGCCTCGTCTCCCGCCGTGGCCTCGCCGGCGCTGCAGGTATGCGCGCCGCCCTCCTCCTCCTCCACCTTCCCAGATCCGCGGGAGTCGTAGCCGCCGGCTGTCTGGATCGGACTGTCGTTTCGGTCCATTCTTGGATCCACCCTTGGCAGATTCGGGGCCACGATTTGGTAGCGGGGGTAGTTGTTTGGGGGTAGGGGCATTGGCTCGATTCTGATTAGGGTTTGTTCGGAGTTGTTTCCGCTAGCTAGAAACGGGGTGCCTGTTTTTATTTTGTTTTGTTTTGTTCTATTTATGTTGCTCCTGCTGTCTTACATTCTTGATTGGTTCGTCTTCTGTCGTTTCCAGATCACCATGGGCCTCCGAAGGTCAACATTTGGCAAGAACCGATGAACCCGGCTAACTGGAAGGAAGAGCAAGTGAGTATTCCCCTGGACATTCCTCCTGTTTTCCGTGGGGCACATGTGGCTCTTGATCTTGATGTCATTCTATTCTACTAGGGTCTCTACTTTGCCTGCAGCAAGTGTCATGTGATCTTGTAGGCATGACTGTCGATTTTATTTTCCCTCATTTTGTTTTATGGCATTATTCCAGTTAGGTACAGTTATATTCAGTTTAATATGTCTTGTTTTACAAGATTATGGCAACGGGTATGTGGAAATGGGGATTGAAAGGGGATTGTTGCAACTTCTATATTACAATGAAATAAAATTGACACTATTGTTGCAATAATTTTGTGGTTTGTTCATACATCTGTATTATGCTTAGGAGGAATGGTCCAAAATCTGCTTGATCGAACTGCAATAATTGGTTAGGGTTCTAAGTTCTATGATTATATAGGCTGTTATGAATTTTAACTAGTAAATATGGCTATGCCTTCTCTGCAATGGCTGGAAAGAATGTTTTTCTTTCTTGGTACTCATGATTATTGTCTTAGGACAAAGCTTATATGTAGCGTGAAATTAACACTATTCTATTGTTCCAGTGTGCTATTCTGTAATGAAGTAAATGTTTGTTCTGTATGAACCATCTAATAATTCTCAGGAAAGTTATCAGAGAAGTTTTCAGTTAATTTACTCCACTTAATAGATGTGCTTATTTGTTAAGCTGAAATTCTAGCCTCTTTCATAATTTTAAAGTTATTTTACTACGAACCTTGTGCTTGTGGCTCATGCCCAGATCATACTCATCACAATCATCTTTCAAAAATCATCATTTAAAATTATCATGCTTGCCATAGCGAGCTCAAGGTGAGGCCAAGGGCAGAAGTGTGACAATGTACTGGCAGAGTAGTTCAGGGATGGGGACTAGAAAGAAGTTCAGAATGAGCAGATTTGAGTCTTAGGGATAAGGATGCAGAGATGGTGGATATGGTTGTTGGTGAGAATGGGGGAGGTTGTGCAGGCAACGTTGAGAACCAAGATGTCATCCCTGGTTCATCACTTGCTGGCCACCACTGGAAGCCAGGAACTTGTCACTCTCCTCCGTGTCGCTCTGCCACAACCCATACCGCTTCTGTGTACAGTTGGCTAGTTTTAAGATAGGGTTGTACACATGAGATGGGACAGCTGTTTTTACTCCCCTCTCTTCTCCATCCTCAAAATTTTTTCCTCCATCCCTGTGCAGCACCTATGCGCCTGCTTGCGGGCGGTTGGCAAGCAGACAAAAGCTTGGCTAGACGAGGTGAACGTCAATAGTATCCACTTTGAGGAGCATTTGTTTCAACTGTCAAGGAAACAATTTGGCAACACCGTGAAATAATAGTGAAGTAGCCAATAAGAATTAATTCTTGTTGAGCTAACCTTGATACCACTAAACACACACCTTTTCAGAAACTATAATTCTACAGCTATTATCATGTACTCTGTACACCCAATTTGGAATATTTTTAAGATGTGTTTTCAAGCTCTGCATTGGTCTTCTCCTTATGTCATCAACCTCGTTAATTGTACATGCAGTTTCTTCTAAATGACTCTGTTCTACATACCTTAGGACTTTGCTGGAATCATATTGTTTTGTTAAGAAAGTTTTCTTAGCTTGGAACTATTGATACTAATTGATTGATAGACCCTATCTATAAGTTGATTTTTTTCTGGTTTAATTTAGATCCTGTTTTTTAGTTGTTATTCTTTACTTTGTGCAGTTTGTGCTAGCCAGCTTAGCTATGTGGGGAGGTATTTTTTATGGTGTCGGCAGGCTTTTTAGTGGGAAGAAGGAAGACAAAACTACTGAGGTATTCATTTTTTACTTATATTTCTTATCTTGAATAATGCTCTTGTTCTCAGAGTTCTGATGGTGCATGAAATATTTAACTAATACTCCGTATCAATTAATCATGAAAGTTAGAGTTAGAAGCACAAGGCACAAGTACATGATACAATGTGTTCCTTTCTTTTGAAGGGCTACCTCTCGTATTTGCAGCTATATTATTATGTCAGTATAGTATAGTGTCAAGATATTGAACTACCTATTTCAGTGTCATCAGCAGATCTTTTTTTACCAATTAGTTTTGATGGTAGTTTTAATGCTTGCAAGTATCTAATTATATGAGTCGTGCACTGTGACAAAGAACATGTAAATCAAAGAGTACTTGGATTTGTCTGTTTGGATAGATGGTCAAGTTAAATAGATACTCCCTTCGTCCCAAAATATAAGGGATTTGGGTTGGATGGGACACATCCTAGTACTATGAATTTGGACAGGCTCCCAGTCCAGATTTGTAGTACTAGAATGTGTTACATCCAACCAAAATCTCTTATATTTTGGGATGTAAGGAGTATTTTACAAGCACTGTGACAAAGAACATGTAAAATCAAACAGTGCTTGGATCATTTGTCTCCTTGGATAGATGGTCAAGTTAAATAGATATTTTACAATCATGTGCCAATTTCATGATGTGGAAAACATATGAATGCACATATGATCTGAAAATTAAGCATTTTTTCCCTCAAAGGCATGCAAACGAAGTATTGCTGCATTCTGAATAAATTTTAATTATATCTGATTGAAATCCTCCAGTAGAGTTTCTATATCTGTGCTCAAATTCCCCAGTCCCCAAAAATTATGCAGCTAATATGTTTGCTTCAAGTAATTACATTGTATCTTGGAAAACTCAGTACTTTTTGCCAGGTGGTTTTTTTTTTGGGGGTTTTCATGTTTGATATGGTATTTATGTAGTTTTATGGCGTTAAATACTTCTGCTACCATCCACTACTAGTCAGTGTACAAGTGAGAAGTGATAATAGGTGGATTTGTGGAAGTGAGAAAAACTGAAAAAAAATAATTGAAATTTAAATAGCATTTGCTCCATGGAAAATGGTTTTTCCCATGGACATGTGACTACATGCACAGCTTCCACTATCAAATGTGCCGCAAGATTGATGGTAATTTTTATAATTCAAATAGACTAATTAATGTTCCATGCAGTCAAATCTCCCAGTCAGAAAGAAATATTGAGGCAGAGGGTTCTATGTGTTTAACTATATGTGATACATGAGTGTCATTTAACCAAAAACAATGATTCATGATCCATGTTCAATTTACATACATGATTGTATACTTGCTTGCTATTATGTTTCTGTCAGCACAAAACTTATCTCCATTTTATTGTAATGTTTTACAGGCGGCGCCAGCACAGGCATAATAGGATTTACCAGAGCCTTATTTCATGCTGCAGACGTGCAACTGTATGAAATAAAGAAGAATTTTATGGTCTGTTTTAAGTTTGTATCGCTAATGGTAAATTGTGGCGACTAGATGGGTGATTTTGTAAGAGGCGAGATTTTGTGGACCTACACTTGTCAGCCAGCATGAATAATCTTTACCGCAGTGGAACTTTGGTTGAGAAACTGCAACAGCGTCTTGATATTTTGTTGTCATCACATCAATTCATGTTTTGTAATCAATATTGGTGCGATTGATCATGATCTTGCGTTATCATACTCAGGTTGATTACGTTACCGTCTGGGGAGTCGAATTACTTCCATGTTCTAACTAAATTGATTTGTCTATTTTGACTGTTTGGATTAGTCTTGCAAGGTATGATTGTGGTTGTTTCACGTTTTTATTCACATTATTTATTTTTCATTATTACTCTCCATCCAAATCGCTCATTGTGCCTTGTGGCGGTGATCGTGATCAGGTTCACAGAACCGATAGAATTTCGTGAAAACCGGTTGGTTTTTTGAAACTGCTGGGTCTCGGTTTTTGAAAATCGGATGGAATTTCATGAAAACCGGTTGGTTTTTGTGAAACTGCTGGGTCTCGGTTTTTGAAAATCAGTCGGTATTAGCTAGTTTTCATACAGTGTTTTGACTGAAAGACATCGGTTTTCAATGGTTTCGGTCGGATTTCAGTAAAGTTAAACCCTGATCGCTATACATGCTCACACCGGCGATAAGATTAGTCATCTTCAATTTGTCAGACGAGACGTTTACCCTCCTCAATGACCAGCCATAACATGAGCATGATTACGCCGGCTTCTTCAACACTAACGACGACACCTCAGTTGGGCCTGGATGGATGCCCTGCACGGCAATACGATAACCATGACTCACCTGAGGGATGGATGACTGTGCGTCTTCTTTCCTGTACTCTGTGCCTCTGTGCTTCGATCTCTACACAGGCCGAGTTTATTTCGAAACTTTTTCTTCAAACTTTTAACTTTTCCATCACATCAAAACTTTTCTATACACGTAAACTTCTAACTTTTCCGTCACATCGTTCCAATTTCAACTAAACTTTTAATTTTGGCGTGAACTAAACACACCTACAAATAAGATATTCAGTTTGTAAAACACGTTTACTACTTTCTTCATGTTCACATTTTTCTATGTCTGATGATTGTCTTTTTTTTTTCTTTCGACAACTTGTGGTGATTGTCTGAATAATGCGTGCTTCTGAGTTTTGAACAATGGAGCGTGCCGAACAAAAAGTATTGTGTCCAATATAGTATATCTTAGTAACACACATAATGAGGGTGGTTGGGGGTAAGATTAAGTGAATACTTCCTTTGTCCCATATTTAAGTTCATTTCTAGCTTCGTCCCATAATAAGCACATTTTTAGAGTAACCATTGTATCGGAGTTTGTAGAAGTAGAGAATAGTCGTATTACGAGCAGATAAAGTGATGAATAGTTACATTGAGATTAGATAAAGTAGGGATATTCTAATCTTTTGGTATTTTTATTGATATATGTGTGAGATGGGTGAAAAATGAACTTGTTTTGAAACAGAGGTAGTATTAAAGATGAGTCGTGGTTGGATGCAAATGTGGATCCCATATTTGTTAACAGGATGTAAACAAACCCCGGGATCTCTTGTATTTATGGATTGAGTGATGGAGAGATTATCTCGTAGGCATCTGAAAAAAAAATGTGATCGCAACTCGCAAGCAAGGAGAAAGTTTTGGCGTGGATTAACTAAGGCCTTATTTAGTTCCTAAAATTTTTTCCCAAAAAACATCGCATAAAATCTTTGAACACATGTATAGAGCATTAAATATAGATAAAATAAAAAACTAATTAAACAGTTTGCATGAAAAATCGCGAGACGAATCTTTTGAGCCTAATTAGTCCATGATTAGCTATAAGTGCTACAGTAACCCATATGTACTAATGACGGATTGATTAGGTTTAATGACTTTGTCTCGCGGTTTCCAAGAGAGTTATGAAATTAGTTTTTTCATTCGTATCCGAAAACCCCTTTCGATATCTGGTCAAATATCCAATGTGACACTAAAAAATTTTCTTTTTCGCGAACTAAGCAAGGCCTAACTCGCAAACAAGGAGAAGGGGGCCATATCGCTAGGACGATAAAGGTCGCAATTTTTGCATCTCAAGTAGCATACAAGCTAAACTCAAACCTTAATTATTTTGACATTTTGAGACTAGACAGGTAGGCATCTTGAATGCCTCTGATGGTAAAGACGTGTGATTCACATGGGCGCGATCCCGGCTGGAGAATGCGCGTGTACGTTCCGCCAGTAGCCCAGTCACATACAACCCAGTGACATACATCCGTTTTTTTGACAAATTGACCCTTTTCAAAAACTTATTTCGAAACTAACCCCTGCCAAAAACTTCAACCAAAACTAGGCCGTCGGCTCAGCGCCAAGCGCATTGGCGCTGAGGTTGGCCGTGTCAGCGCCAATGGGACTGGCGCTGACATTGTGCCACCGTGGCGGCCGGGCCGATCCCCTAGCTGACGTGGCAGCTACCTCAGCGCCAACCGCTTCGGCGCTGAGGTGCCCAACCTCAGCGCCAAGTAAGTTGGCGCTGACCTTGGCTACTTAGAGCCCGGCCGAGGCCGCCCCAGCCAGTTCTTCCTCCGTTTTTTCCCTAGCCGCCCGCCTAGGGTTCGGTCGCCACCGCGTTCTCCTCGCCCAATCTCCCCCAAAAACCTCTCTAATCGAAGGTGATTTGTGCGACATTGAGTTTGGGATCGGAAGAGAAGGTAAACCCCTCTATAAACCCTAAGTTCCCCAAAGTTTTATTGGATATTTTGCATTGTTTTGGTTGTAGACGTGGTTTGATAATAGTTGGCTAAGGATGGATTATTAGATGGATAATATGGGTGGGGATGAAGTGTGGAGGTGGCATATCTTTATCTATTTGGTTGTTATTGATACATTTGACAAAATGTATTTGGGATGGATGTTTGGTGATGCACTAGGGTTTGATGGGAGATGGATGTGTGGTGATGGCCTAGGATGTGGGATGGATTTGTGGTGATTGAGAGGGTTTGAAAGGGGTTGATGTGTGGTGAAGGGTAGGTAATTTGTAGGAGTGGAGTTTTTTTTTATCAATAATGTGTAGTATTTGAGTAATGTACTAATTTATTGGAAAAATTAGACATGTTGTTAGCTTTTGAAGTATTGGTATTGCAATGGTAATTACATATTATTTTCAAGTAATTAATGTTTATGCATGGGTTAAAAATTGTAGATGGATAGATTGGTCCGGCTTCATTATGGTGGTTGTGTGGTAGATGAAAGTACACATGGAAGCCAATTTGAGGGAATGACAGTTAGACAATTAGTGTTTTTTGCGAAGCCTACCTTTGAGGAGTTAATGTCTCGCATCAAGCATGAATTGGATTGGAATGATGAGTCGGTTGGTATGCAAGGGAGATACGATGTCGGCGGCGGTGTCATGTCACATAAATTTATGTTAGACTTGAATGGAGAGATCGAATGGCAAACATATATAGATATAGTATTGGGGTCACATTTCAAATCTCTTGAGGTGTTTGCATGGAAGAAAGATGGTAGGATAGGGAAGAAAGAACTTATAGACCGTAATGAAAGTCCACTCATAGAATCACCCATTAGCTGTCACGAACTGTCGGAGAGGTGTAGTAGGAAGGAAGAATTGATTGAGGAAGACGTGGAGGGGGGCGAGGGAGTAAATGATATGGCGGATGTGGAGGTCAGGGAAGAGAATGACCCGGTAAGGGAGGAAGTACATGCAAAGGAGAATGTGCCGTTAAGGGAAGAAGTACATGCAGAGGACAATGTGCCGTTAAGGGAGGAAGTTAATGTGGAGGAGAATGTGCCGGTAAGAGAGGAAGGAGATGTTGAGGATGGTCGGGAGGTAGGAGATGATGTGGAGTTGCCTGAGGAAGAAGCGAATGCTAAGAATGTAAGTATGGGCCTAAGGGAGTTGGCTAGGCTGAAATTCTATACCCGAGAGGAGTGTGAGGAGGCTATGATACGCAGTGGATTGAACCCAGGCTGGTTGGAGTATGATACAGAGGATGAATTGGATGAGTCCGCTTCCGACTCCGATGATGATCGTCCAGTGCGTAAGATGTCAGAGCATGAAAGGACTGTGTTTGCGAAACTGGTGGGTAGAAACCCGGAAATAACACAATTCGAGGATCTTACCAGATCTGGGCTAGCAATTGCTGATGGGGATCCACAATATGACGGTGCCTTCGAACCAATGTGTGATGAACCAAGGAAGGGGTTGGAGTTTCGATCGATGGATGATCTGAAAATATGGCTACAGAGTTATTCTATCCGTGTCCACCGGCCGTACCATGTGAAGGAATCTAACGCGTCAGTAAAGTATACTGTGGCTTGTCTCGATCGCCATTGCAAATGGCAGATTAATGCAAGGAAGAGTGGAGGAGATAGGTGGCGGGTGACTAGGGTGGGCGAAGACCACACATGCTGTAGTGCGGAAGTAACCGGCAAGCATTTGCAACTTACTTCAAGGTTTATTGGAAACAGGTTACAGGCATTTGTGCGAGCTGAACCAACTTTATCTCCAGCAGCGATTGTCGAGGCAGTTGAGCAAATATGGCACTATTGGCCTACGTATGGCAAAGCATGGCGTGCTAAGCAAGTTGCTATGAAGGTCATTTGGGGAGATTGGGACGAGGCGTATGTTCGGTTGCCTACACTGATGCGTGCCATCAAAGCAAAGAACCCTACCATGCATTTCCGTGTTGAGGCTCATCCCGAGAAGTCCATGATGGTGGATGGAGTACAGAGGCGAGTATTTGGACGTGCATATTGGATATTTGGCCAGTCCATAGAAGCATTCAAGCACTTGAGGCCGGTGCTAGCAATTGATGGCACTTTCTTAACCGGTAAATACCAAGGTACATTGCTCACGGCAATAGGGGTCGACGCCGGGTTACATCTTGTTCCCTTGGCTTTTGCTCTGGTAGAGAAGGAGAATACATACAACTGGGAGTGGTTCATCAACATGTTGAGAAACAAGTTGATCGGTCCTAATAGAGAAGTGTGTATAATTTCTGATAGACACCCTGGCATTTTGAACTCCATCATCCACATCATGCCTCATCACCTAACCATTCACCACAGGTGGTGCATGAGGCACTTCTGTGCTAACTTCTACACAGCTGGAGCTACGACTGATCAGATGAAAGATCTTGAGCGCATATGTCAAATAAATGAGAAAGCATTGTTCCTAGATGAGATAAAACGCCTCATGGGTGTGGTCGGAGAGAGGCCAAAGAAGTGGCTAGAAGACCATATGCCACTTAAGGTCAAATGGGCAAGAGCATTTGATACCAACGGGCGTCGTCATAGCATCATGACTAGTAATATGGCCGAGAGTTTCAATAATGTATTGAGAGGCATTCGGAAACTGCTGGTTACAGCTATTGTGGCATACACATTTTCGAAGTGCAATAGTTGGTTTGTCGATAGACACAAAGAGGCAACTGTAGATATCCTGTGTGGAAAGAAGTGGCCCACAAAAGTTAAGGACATGTTGGAGGAGCAGCAAAGACGAACCTTGGGGCAAAGAGCAGCATGTTTTGATTTCCCTTCGATGAAGTATGAGGTCAGCGAGCAAGGCGGAGTCACGGCGGCTGGGGTTCAATGGGGTGGACGTCACTACGTCGTGGTTGCGAGAGATAACACATGTAGTTGTCAGTTCCCTCAGCTCCATCACTTGCCATGCTCCCACATGATAACCGTTTGTAAGTTGCGAGGTTTGGATGTGGAGGTGGCCCCCCGAATGTGTTATGAAGCTTCCAATAAGGCTTCCAGTTGGTCGGCCCATGTGGAGGACCCATCAGGCTTGGCCGCACCAGGATGCAGACCGACGTCCCACTGTAGCTCACCTGTGGGAATCGGTCCCATCTCCAGTAGTAGGCCGCAGGAATTTGGCGTACTACCACTACACAAACGAGATGGACTACCTACAGCCAGAACATGTAAGCTATTCGGGGTTCTATGACAGATGAAGATGGTTTCTTACTATATAGTACTAACTGTGCTTCAATGTGTTTTATTTTTGTTGCTACAGGTGGTGTGGATGCCATATCAGGCACAGGAAGTGCTCGAGCTAGAACTGAATCCCATGTGCCATATAGAGGATGCGTTGAAGACCCTACGGTGCCCACTGATCTGCTTCTATGCAGTGGAGTTCCAGATGTGCCACCGCGTGATGCGGCAATTCGGGAGGCTTCAAACAATCCCGCACCGTTTCTCCACGAGTATCGACCTACACAAGTTAGTAATTTCACTTAACAATTTATTTTGCTTGCCCAATCAGTCACTTCAACATTTACTACATATTTGAGTTGGACATTTTGCATACGTGCAGGGTGGACCGTCGGAAGAACAAGAAGGTGACTGATTGGGCTTACTACCATCAGGATCATATCACGCAATGGGAGAAGTTCGAGGAGAATGGAGTACCAGACCAGGGTCAGCACAACGGGACGGAGTTCGACTTGTACTTGGCGTGGCTCCACAGGACCTACCGTCTTGTCCTACGTCCGGCTTGGACACTAGCCGACATAGCGGATGACCCCGAGGATGTTGAGGAGCAGAACGAGTACGATACTCGTACCCGTCTAGGTACCACGGTCGAGACGGGACCTGTTCGCGACAGAGTGGTTAGTTTCTAGCATTAATGTTGTATATTATTTCATTTCAATGCCATATATGTTGTGACATACTTCATTTCAATCCTACAGGCTCGAGAGCTCTTGCGGACCGTCAACGACGCGGGAGTGGCGCTAGGCACGGCTCCTGGCTCCGAAGGAGAGGGCGGCACCCTCCGCAACGCCCTACAGGTAATCGTTGGAAAGAGATGAAACTACGGTGTTTTCTTCCAAAAGCGATAACTTAACATGGATTATTTTTTATGCAGAGACTACGGCAGCGATGTCGGAAGTTGGCAGCAAGGCTCGGCTGCAGGTCGACTGATGTGGTCGAACATGCTCATGCCCACCAAGAGGGGGATGAAGAAGGGGAGGTGGGTGACGAGGAGGGCGAGCAAGACAAAGAGGCGGAGGAAGGAGATGAGGAGGAAGAAGGGGATGAGGACAGAGAAGAGGAGGCGGATGAGCTCGGTCCCTCGCAGCTAGAGGACGCACCAGAGTCGTCACAGCCGGATATCTCGCAGCCCGGCCCGTCTCGACCACGACGCCGGCGGGCTCCTTCGCAGGACTGGAGGTACACCCCCGACGTGCCTCGTCCTCGCACTAGAGGTAGGAGGAGGTGAGTGCATGGTTCAATGGATGGATGGATAGATGGATGGACTTGATGCATGGTTCGATGGATGTATGGACTGGATGTATGGACTCGACTGGATGTATAGACGAGGATCGATGGGATGTTTTTATTTCTTATATGTATGGACTTCATATATGGATGTATTGATGGATTCTATGGATGTATGGAATGATGTTGGGATTGATGGATGGATGTATATTTTGTATGGTTCTCTGGATATATTACTGCCTGTAAATTTCTGTCATTTGATGTTTGCCTGTGTTGTGTGCAAAGTTTTGCTAAAGTTTAGCAGGGCTGGGACGTCAGCGCCATGCAGAATGGCGCTGACATGTCCAAACTCAGCGCCAGTGCACCTGGCGCTTAGGTCCCAGCCCAGCCATCCAGAAGGCTTGCTGGGCTGGGCCACGGCCGAAACGGCCAAGTCCTACCTCAGCGCCAGGTGGGCTGGCGCTGAGTGTCCCACGGTCAGCGCCATTATGGCTGGCGCTGAGGTCCTAGCCCGCAAGCCATCCAGAAGGCTTGCTGGGCTGGGCCACGGCCGAAACGGCCAAGTCCCACCTCAGCGCCAGGTGGGCTGGCGCTGAGTGTCCCACGGTCAGCGCCATTTTGGCTGGCGCTGAGGTCCCAGCCCGCAAGCCATCCAGAAGGCTTGCTGGGCTGGGCCACGGCCGAAACGGCCAAGTCCCACCGAGTGTCCCACGGTCAGCGCCATTATGGATGGCGCTGAGGTCCTAGCCCGCAAGCCATCCAGACGGCTTGCTGGGCTGGGCCACGGCCGAAACGGCCAAGTGCCACCTCAGCGCCAGGTTGGCTGGCGCTGAGTTTCCCACCGTCAGCGCCATTATGGCTGGCGCTGAGGTCCCAGCCCGCAAGCCATCCAGAAGGCTTGCTGGTCTGGGCCTTGGGGTTGCGGCCAAGTCCCACCTCAGCGCCAGTCCGGCTGGCGCTGAGGTAGCTGCCACGTCAGCTGGGGATCGGCCCCGGCCGCCACGGTGGCACAATGTCAGCGCCAGTCCCGTTGGCGCTGACACGGCCAACGTCAGCGCCAATGTGTTTGGCGCTGAGGCGACGGCCTATTTTTGGTTGAAGTTTTTGGCAGGGGTTAGTTTCGAAATAAGTTTTCCAAAAGGGTCAATTTGTCAAAAAAAAACGGGACATACATACGCGGTACGCCTCACTACTATTAGCCAAAGATGTAGTATAATACAGTACTCCATATCGATCATGCTTTGGATATTCTGATATTGTTAAACACGGTTCCAGTCCTGGACCCTCAAAATTCAATATTGGCACTTAGTTGCCACTTCTGCGCGTACATTAAGACGAGCCACGTGTATACAAGATCAATTTGTTAGTTTTAAATAGAGGACCTACTTTGGGCTGTGTTTAGTTTATGCCGAAATTGGAAGTTTGGTTGAAATTGGAATGATGTGATGGAAAAGTTTGAAGTTTATGTGTATTGGAAAATTTTGATGTGATGGAAAAGTTGGAAGTTTGAAGAAAAACTTTATCTAAACACGGTGTAAATCTCGAGGAATAGAGGATAACTTTGTGCTATGGCTGTGTTTGTTCCAGCCGGTTCCAAGTCTCCCCTCTCGTTTTCCACTCGCACGTTTTTCAAACCGTTAAATAGTGTGTTTTTTTAAAACAGTTTGTATACGAAAGTTACTTTAAAAAATCATATTAATCTATTTTTATTTAAAAGCTAATACTTAATTAATTATGCGCTAATAAATTGCTCCGTTTTTCGTGCGCCCTACTCATGTTGAGGTGCGGCAGGAACGAAGATACCCTTGATCAACGCCACACTTACAGATTAATGCTATATAGTGTTTCTACAGTACATACGGTAAGGACTCACTTGAGGGTATTTTATACGTACTCCCTACTTTCATATTATATATTATTTAACTTTTTCCTAATTAATTTTTTGAAGTTTAATTAAGCTTATAAAATATATAGCAACATTTTTAACACAAAACAAAGACATAATCAAATATATTAAAAGTTAGTTTTAATAAAAGTTAGTTCTACTAATTTTGTTGTTATACATGGTACTAAATTTATCTACAAGTTTGATTAAAATTAAAAAAAAGTTTAATGAAGAAAAAAGTTAAAAAGAAACAGAAGGAATAGATAACTACTCCATATTTAGTTGCAGTGACTAGTTTTTCCATCAATGGCAATCCGAATAGTTTGATGGGAAGTGGAATAAAGTTCTGCTTAGGCCCCTATTAAGCAACCAACCAAACAAGTCAATGGCAAATTGCCAAGATGATGAACAATAACAGCTTAGCACACTGATGTGAAATAAAACGCAGTTCTCAACGTCGGGTCGCTTGTTAATGTGAAAAGCAAGTTCACATGAGCTGACTCATTAATTTGAGTGAACACACAAACCACCTCTCTCGTTGCATATAGACTATAGAATAATCCAGTTCAAGTAACGTAAACCCATTAATCCAGACAATCGTATCAAGTCTCAGATTAATCACGAGCTCCAATCAGTGTAGCACGCGGCAACGTGGAAAACGACCGCTCCTTCCGTGCCAGATCTCAATGCCTTTTATAATGCAAATGCACGTGATCCCCACGTACGCGCGCACAGCCACTAGCTGCAATGTCAGTCCTATCCACAAAGGGAGCGAAACGGATTAGTAGCGTATGCATGTCACTGCACCGCCTAATACAGATCAGATTTTCAATCAGAGCCTCGTGCAAGTGGTTTGCTTTCGTTAATCACAACTTCCATCTCATCGACTCATCTTCACCTTCACGCTTTTGTGATGCACACAGCTAGTCTAGGCTAAGTAACGTACCTTTGTAACTAACTACTTCAGTTCAGAGCCTTCCAGATTATGATCTTTTTGATAAGATGACAAGCAAGATGCATCCATGACCTGAAAGAGGAAAACAATTCAACTATTAGTAATGTTGGCAAGCAATAATAGGGGGGGTGTGGGTTGCTCTGAGTCACTATCCTTCCAATCTGAGTAGAATGCAGGATGGGCATGGATGTACACACTGATCCAACTAGTTTCACTTACATGTCACTGTATGGGAATTGATTGCTAGACTAGTGTACAAAAGCTGGGCGTCGCAGCCTGATTCCACAAGATATTTTCATATGCAGCAAAATCGAAATGATCTGAGATGCACGGACCAATTATCCTCTCTTCTAGATATTTATTTTGGTTTTCACCAAAACTGTGTGCTGCAATGCGGACAATGACATTGTACTGGCCACTAGATGGTAACAGACAAGATTTCATGAATAATGAAAAAAAGAGGGAGGTTTGAGCCAGAGAGCAAGAGACAAGAATACAAAGATTAATGGATGATGAACCAAGGGATTTAATGGATGACACGGTTTAAGAGGCAAATAAGATATTACCATGTGCTTCAAAGTAATGGTTTGGAGTGGTGGGGATGCTGAAGTGGAACTGACCTTAACTCTTTTAAGTTGCCGCCTGGGACAAGATGCAGGGGACTGATGAGTCATAAAGCTGATGAGCACATGCTGCATTTCTTTTTTCATGGTTTGGCACTTATTTACTCAGAGGAAAACAAGAAATAAAAGGACAAAAGGCTTTCTTTCAAGTAATTGTCATGACGCTTACCTCTATAAGAAGGCATAGCTCCACCGCTTCTCAGAGGAACAGCTGGGTCAGCTGCACACATAGAACCAGAGAGAGAGAGAGAGAGAGAGAGAGAGAGAGAGAGAGAGAGAGAGAAGGCATAGGTCCACTCCACCACTCCGCAGACGCACACAGAGGAAGAGGGAGGGAAGGAGAGGGAGAGCTGAAGAAGGCATGGAGGAGCAAAAGCACACAGACAAGGTATGTTTCCAGAACCTAATCTCCACAGTCCTGACTCCCTGATGATAAAATCTATCTTCTTGGATAAATGCTAGAACAATCAATGTGGAAAATCCCATATTTCAATCTATATCAACCTCATAGTTCAGTTAAAAAAAGAAAATCTTCTGAGACATTCATGACATTTTCTTTCTTGATATCTGGTCTGAGTAACGTTGGTAACACGAAATACATCTAAGTAAAAACAATCCAGTGCAGGGGCTATAAGCAAACAACATTTTTTCAATACCTGTTGATCCAACAAAGGATTATGCTTTTTAAACACAATATAATTTTTATAAATATGTGAGAAAAGCCATGACTTACTGTTTTTTCGAAGCTCTGAAAGAAATCAGGTAAAACCAGCCAGTTTCTGGTCAGATTACCGATCAATTATGCAAGTAGGCATTGGATGCCTATACTCCACTTGGATTTGAACTGTACAGTAACGAAACCTTGCAAATATTCCATCCTCACCTTCTTGTCCACCTCTTGCAAAAGGCAAAGGCAAAGCTCAGCATGTTGAAATCAAAGGTGATCTGCTGCAAGCTCTACATTTCTGAAAGCCAGAATGCCAAGGTTGTTGATGCAATCACTCGCATTGGCCAGAAAGACCCTGAGGTTGTTTTGCTCAGCAAGTTCGAAGATGACCACTACAACCGTGTCCGTTACACGCTTGCGTCTTATATCATCAACGAGAACTCAACTGGTGAAGTGAAATTTAGCCCAATGAGGCGAGTATTGTTGGAGATGATTGAGAAAGCGTTTTCAACCATAAACCTTGAAACGCACACTGGAACTCACCCAAGGATTGGAGTCATTGATGACATGTCCTTCCACCCCTTGAATCAAGCCACAATGGAAGATGCTGCTCAACTGGCTAAGACTGTGGCCTCTGACATTGGCAACTTCTTACAAGGTTCGTTAAATTTTCAACTACTTTACTTAAATAACAGATGTAGTATCAAAAACTTCTGATCATTCATTCATTCTCCCTGTATGCAGTCCCAGTATTCTTGTATGGAGCAGCACACCCCACTGGCAAACCTGTGACTGCAGTACGGCGTGAACTGGGCTACTTCCAGCCAAATTACATGGGCATCCAATGGATGGGTCAGGTACTCCCTGATATTCTGCCGGTGAAGCCAGATGAGGGCCCAGATCATGTTTCTCGTGAAAGAGGTGCCATAATGATCGGTGCTGCACCTTTACCCCTGAACTATAATGTGCCGGTACTATCGAAGGATATCCCAACCATAAGAAGGATCACCCGAAGGGTGACTGGTCGTGGTGGAGGACTCCCGACAGTGCAAGCGCTTGCCCTTTCCCATGGTGATGACTGCACAGAGATTGCATGCTTCCTGGATCCAGATCATGTCAGTGCCGATCAGGTTCAGCAGCAGGTGGAACAGATAGCAGCAGAGCAAGGACTTGAGGTTGAAAAGGGGTACTTCACTGACTTCTCAAAGGATGCAATGCTTGAAAAATACTTCAAGATTGTGTTGTCTGTTGATTAACATGTGCATAGTCTTCTATGGCCAAATGTCACGCATGCGTTATTGTTTTTGCACAGATGATTCATACCTGTGTAATGATGCATGAAAAACAATAACCAATTTTATCTAACATTGTGTATATAGCAAACTTTCCTTTTTTTTTCCCGCTTCCAGATTTGCCCGCAACATCTGTGCAGAAGATAGTTTCCAGGAACTTAATCACCAGATGATACATCTGATAATTGTGTGAGCCTGTAAATTATCTTCCACGTCAACTTAAAAATGTCTTAAATATTGTTTACTTTGCAGTCTGGGTTATCGTGTTACTGTTATGGGCGGCAGTTAGTTGGTAGGCATTGTTAGATATAAGGATGTTAGGAGCCGGCCCTATATAAAGAGAGGTACGGCAGTCATTTGAAGGAATGAAGAAAGAAGCAAATTAATCTATTATCCTAGTCCCCTTCTCCTACCCCTGCCCTTGTGGTGCGGCCTCGTGCTGCTTGGGTTCTGGACCATTTAGATCAGTGGCACGTTACAGTTACTATAAACTAAACAGTTGAATATTGTATGAGAAGGTTATTTTCTGTTAGAAGGGCATGGGAAAGGAATGATTCAAGTCACCTTAGAAATGTTTATGGGGACTGCATCAAGCATATGGTTGATGAATAAATAAAACCATGAGTGATTAGCATCTTCCCCTTATAAAGTTTTGAAAAGGGGGAGAAAAGACCAAATAGACCAAGTACTGACTAGTTACTATTGACAGCGAAAGGAAATGCATAGATAATGAGCAAACAAACAATGTGGGATCCCAACATCATTAACCTAAAGGCCTTGTTTGGATAATGGGAAATGGAAATAATTTCCAATCCATGAAGGAGTAACTTTTAATCATAGTTGACGGAGCTTAGGGCTCCTCACCGGGAGACCGCGCAGGCCCCCCTTTGCCGGTTCGGCCGGGGGCGCTAAGTGAGGTTCTTCACCCTCGATCTGTGGAATATTCGCGAGAGAGCAAATGCACGAGACACGGGCGATGTAGACAGGTTCGGGCCGCTGAGAAGCGTAATACCCTACTCCTGTGTTCTGGTGGATCTGTGTGTGAAGGATTTATAGAGAGCCGGAGAACCAGAAAGTCCAGGCTCTAGAAACCCTCTTCTTCTTTCTCTCCTCTACAAGCTACGATCTTCTTTCTCTCCGATCCCAGCTACCATCTTCTCTCTACCCCCTCCAAGCTACGATCTTTTTTTTTTGATCCCCCCTTTTCAGTGGGCAAGGTCCTCCTTTTATATCTCAAGGGGATACCACATGCAACACTTCTACCTACCCCTTCTTTTGGGTGGGGACCCACCCTATCTTGACCAAAACTTGGCTCGCGCCTTCGCTTGGAAGCTAAAACACAGCTTGTTCTTGAGTGTGGACCAGCGCTGTCACTCGCCTGACACAGGGGATCACCCTGTCATTCCTTCATTAACGGGCGGAGATTTGCAATGGCCGCTGTCCGAATGACTCCTCCGATGGGATGGGTCATACCTACCTCCACTTCGCCGAAAACGGATGCAACGCGGGAGCACGGTTTGTCTACCGATGACGTGACCGGCGTCAGACCAGTCACAGACCGGTCATTCTTGTCCACCACGTGTCAGTTTAGTATGCCGCACGTCTGTCCCTCTTCATACAATGACTTCCTTGCAATGGTTGCGATGAAGCCTGGAACGTATCTGGCCGGGACTGGCGTGCTAACTCCAGGAGTTAGCACGCCGTCTCCGGCTAGGGACAAGTGCCTGGAGGCACTCATCATTCCGACGGGACGGGGCGAGGCGTGTGACAGGCCGCCTGCTGCCACCTAACCCGCAATCTGACCGGTCTGTGACCGGTCACACACTGCGACCGGTCACGGACCGGATAAACGAGCGCGCTGCGTTGCATTAAATGCGGCGTGGCGCGCTCGTCCAACCCGCAATAAATGCGGTTAGGTGAGCCCCGCCGTGCTCACCTAACCCATACACGTGGCGCCAAAACCACAGGGGGTCGGGGCGCCCCAGCCCTCGGGGCCGAAACGGGAGCGGCCCGACCCCTCGGGGAGACAGAGGAAGGGGTGGCCATGTCACCCTCGGGCCCGACCCCCCCGAGGGGGTCAGGCCACGTGGGTGACCGCGGCTGCCCAAGCCTCTAGTCATGATACTCCCGGTCCCATGTCACCGACAGTAGCCCCCGGCGTTATGCCAGGGCGATCGCCCCCCTCGAGGGAAACGCTCGGGCGTGACGCCACTCCTTAGGCCTGGTGACAGGTGGGGCCGGTCTCTACAGGCGGGCAGGAACCCAGCAGTCGCAAATCGCGCACATCGGCAACGGAAAACCGACTGTCTATAATGAGCGGTCTCTTCAAGACCGCTACATTACTCGAGTAGCACGCGAATCGGGACGAGCCGGTTCGTTTCGCCTGGAGATATGATGATGGCGCTTTGGTCGGCGAGCGTAGTTAACGCGCGCACGATATGTCCCATCTCGACTGCCACGGCCGCACATCCGCCTCGTGCGCCGCAAACGAGCGAGTGGGATTAGTGGAGGTGTGGGCGCGAGAAACGAGGGGGCGAGATAGTGGGCGCGGGAAGCGAGGAACCGGGCATAGCGTTGGCAAGGGTATAAAGACGCCGAGGAAGATATTTGCTTCCTTCCTCTCGCCATTATCCCCCTTGCCTTCGCCGCTTACGCCCTAACTCCTCGTTTCCTGTGCCCTACCCTTGCCGCACTCACTCGTTCTCAAGCTCCTCCTCCGCCGGTGTTATGGCACGGGGCTCCGCACCGCTCGACGGTAGCGTGCTGCCGCCTTCCCGCATTGTGAGCGAGAGGCAGGCCGGGCTGCCGCGCCGATTCATGCCGGAATCTGCCACCGGCCGGGAGGTGGTCGCGCTGGGTGAGGGACGCCCGGCGCCACACTACCCGGAGCGGTCCGTCTTCTTTCTCTCTTTCGCAATGGCAGGACTGGTCCCGCCATTCTCTTCTTTCTTCATGGATGTTCTGGAGTTTTATGATCTCCAGATGGCGCACCTCACCCCCAACGCGGTAATGACGTTGGCCATCTTCGCGCACCTGTGCGAGATGTTTATCGGGGTGCGCCCATCTCTTCGGCTGTTCCGGTGGTTCTTCACCGTACAGCCGGTGTCGCCGCCGTCGGTAGTCGGTGGCTGCTACTTCCAGCCGCGGGGGCCGGTGCTGAACCGCTACATTCCCTGCGTCCTCCGCAAGAAGTGGGACGATTGGAAGAGCGACTGGTTCTACACCCCCCTCGCCGATGAAGTGCGCCTCCGACTTCCGAGCCAGCCCCCGGCGCAGGCCTCCAGCTGGCGGGCGCCAGTAGATCTGGGAGACGGCTACGACGCCGTTCTTGACCGCCTGGCGGGTCTGCGATCCCAGGGGCTGACGGGGGCCATGGTGTACGGCGACTACCTTCGTCGCCGGATTGCGCCGCTCCAGCGGCGCGCCCGGGGCGCCTGGGAGTACACCGGGTCCGAGGACTACATGAGGACCCATCAGGGGCACAAATGGGATTGGGTCCCTGAGGACCTGAGGATGGTGGTCCAACGGGTGCTGAATCTCAGCTCCGTGGAGGCATCCCTTATTCCCCAAGGTGTCCTCCCCCTCTGCAGCGATCCAGATCGCGCCAGCATCCTGTCCATCATGCAGGCGGTCGGGGCGTCGGAGGAGCGGGCTCCTCGAGGCCACGAAGGCGCAGGCGGGAGCCGCAGGGGGGAACAATCTACCCCGGGAGGGGGTCGTGCTTCTGGGCCCCGCGACGGGGGTCCGGGGGGCAGCCGCCCTGCCGACGCCCGGGGGAAGAGGAAGCAGGAGGGTACCCCTTCCCCATCTCCTCCCCGAGGGGGCGGGGCGGTGCGCGCCAGCAGCAGGCGCCCGGAGGGTGCCGCGCCGATGTCGCAGCCCGAGGGGGGGCGAAAGAAGAAGCGGCTCCGCAAGATGGGGGAGACGGAACCATGCCGGGGAAACCTCATCTCTCCCCCAAGGTGGTCGTTTAGCCGACCTCCCTGCAGGTTCGTTCCCGCGCCCACCGCGGCCGTATTCATTCTCCCATCCCCAAGGCAAGTTTTCACTTACCCGCTTCTTTTTGCCTTCTGGTTCTTCTTCTGTTTCAGCGAGATCCCGTCGCGCCCCCTTCGCCCTTCCAAGTCCGGTCGGTCTGAGGCCGAGGAGACGGCGACCGCGGAGACCCGGAGGCGGGAAGCTGACCGGCGAGAAGCCGCGGACCGCCTCCGGGAATCCGAGGAGGGTGCCCAGGAGGCTGTCCGGGCTCGCCAGGCTGAGGAAGCCACTCGGGAGGAGGCCAGACCGCGCTGGGCCGAGGAGTCCGTCCGGGAGGCGGAGACGGCGCACGCACGTCAGGCGGCCCACCGAGCCCCCGACCCGACTCCGCCCGAAGCGACGACGACTTCCGAGGCCACCCACGACGAGGCCGCGGGCGCACCGCTCGGGCCCGACCCCTCGGGCGGCGCTCAGGACGAGCCGGCCTCGGGGCGAGGCCGCCCCCGAGTCCGGCACGTCTATCGGCGGACCGAGCCGCGCGGCACCCACACCGAGGCGGCTCTCCCCTTTGCCTTCCACTGCCCCACTGAGCGCGGAGCCCCTACTGCAGGCCTTAGCCACCGCGAACAGCACGGTGCTGGACGGGCTAAGTGCCCAGATGGAGATCCTGCAGGCGGAGCGGGCGGAGCTCGACGCGGCTTGGACGCGCGTTGAAGAGGGGCGGCGCTCAGTGGAGGCCATGGTGGAGGCGGGCCGCAAGGCTCACCGCCGGCATACCTCAGAGCTCGAGGCCCGTCGGAGGGACCTGGCGGAGATCGCCAGGGAGGTGGAGGAGGAGCGGGAGACTGCCCTCATCGCCACCGCTGTGCTCGACGAGGTGCGGGACGACCTCCGCCTCCAATACAGGAGCCGGGCGGCGGAGCTAGAGAAGAAGCTCGACACCGCCCGGGGAATCCTTGACGCCGCCGCTACCCGGGAACGTCGGGCGGCGGAGAATGAGGCAGCGTCCCGGCGGCGCGAAGAGGCCCTTGAGGCTCGCGCCACGGCGCTGGAAGAGCACGCCCGCGCGAGGGAGAGGGACCTGGCGGACCGCGAGGCCGCCGTTGCCATCCGGGAGGCAACGTTGGCGGCGCACGAGGCCGCCTGCGCCGAAGAGGAGTCCGCACTCCGCCTCCGCGAGGACGCGCTCACCGAGCGGGAGCGAGCTCTCGAGGAGGCCGAGGCCGCGGCGCAACGGCTGGCGGACAGCCTGTCCCTCTGCGAGGC